GAGGCGGGCTGTACACATCGCTGTAGGGTGAATGCTTTGGGCGCTGGCTGTACGGAGGGAGAGCCCGAAAAGTGGCGTGGTCACTTTGCGCAGTAATCGGCTAAGCTTTGCGTCCATGACGGATACGGCGGCTCCAGTATCTACAAAAACAGATGCACGAACACCATCCACAAGCACGTCTATCACGTTCGATGGTCTTTCCTGAGGGCTTCCGCAGTTCGACAGCGTCGCAGCCCTTGCCTCGTGGACTGCGACGACTAGTTTTCCTGGTCACCCTCTAGTGGACGTGGCCGCATCGGCGACAGTGAGCGACATCGCGGAGAATGTGAACGGCGGGTAGATGGAGCGGGGCGGGACGACGGTGACGTAGCTGGCGGTTGGTCATAAAAGCGGCTCGATTGGCTGGAAAAATTGGAGGCGACCTGCGGTCGCTGCACACGATTGCAGTAGCGTGCTACGTGACCGACGCAACCACAAGCAAAGCAGATGATTGTCCGCAGTGCGCCATCGGTTCGCGGGTCCCATCCATGTCGAAGAACGCGATGGGCGAGCCGGCTGCTGATATAACTGCATAGTGGGCGGCACACGGGGCACGTGGATGACGTCGGTATATGTAGGCGGTACAGTTTCTCCGAAGGCCTGGGGTCTGGCGATGGTTTCGGTGTAACCAAGGGGGCCAGTCACAGGAATCGGTGGGGGTGGCCTGGCGACAACTTGGGTGTAACTGAGTGGTATAGATACTGGAGGCGGCTGGTGATATTCTGGAACGACCTCCGCGATTTCCTGCTGAATGGCTCGGCGGAGGGGAGGCAGAAGTGTGCTTGACGACTGTTCAGCACGTTGCGGGGAAGCAGAGGCCAGTAAAGAGACCTGGCGGGCAACTCTCTCACGCACGAATGACTTGATTTCAGCAAGCAAGGCGGTGTGGTCAGGAAGTGTTGACAAGGCCGAGAGATCAGCGTCACGTGAGGGTGGTCGACGGGTCATCGAGCGCTGTCGTCGCAGCTCCTCGTAACTTTGGCAAAGTGTAATGATCTCTGCCACAGTGCGAGGGTTCTTGGCCAGGAGCATGGTGAAGGCATCGTCGGCGATGCCTTTTAGAACATGGGTAATTCTGTCGGCCTCTGACATGCTCGCGTCGACTTTCTTGCACAAGACAAGGATGTCCTCTATGTAGATTGTGAAGGACTCACCGGTCTGCTGTGCTCGTTCACGTAACCGCTGTTCGGCTTGGAGCTTACGAACGGCAGGACGGCCGAACACGTCGACGACGGCGGTTTTAAAAGCGGACCAAGTGGGGAAATCGGATGCGTGGTTGTTGTACCACATGCTGGCCACACCTGCGAGGTAGAAAACCAGGTTGCCGAGTTTACCTGCCTCGTCCCAATGATTAGGGACGCTGACGCGTTCGTACATAGCAAGCCAGTCCTCGACGTCGGTGCCATCCGCGCCAATGAAGACAGGAGGGTCGCGGATGCGGGGGACACCGGAACATGGCGTCAGCGCAGGAGGAAGCGTTTGCTGTGCGGCGTCTTGGTGCATGGTAGAAGGCACGGTGCGGGATCAAAGCTCCAGGGGCATCAAATGCTAACCGAAGGTGTTAGACGGGCACAGCACTCTCCACCAAACTGTTGAGACGTTTATTGGCGGACACTTGTCGACGATGCTTGACAGCGACAGTCAATGCGGGTACCGACTCTCTGCACGAGCTGCTCTTCTTTTGGCTAAAAAGGGCAACCCACTAGAAGGCGCTGGAGAGGACGACCCACTGTTCGAAGGCTTCACCACAAGTCCTTATGAGCAATTGTCTGTTTAGCTTTACTAATTTTCGAGTAATAAGCATCTTCCACAGCATAATATTTTTCCCATGCGCATGCAGTACCATTGAGTTTCGCAGGGTGAAAGAGGCGCTTTTTTTTTTTTCAAGAGGTTTTAGGCTTTTGGAAAACCATGATTTATTTTTATTGGCAAGAAAACTGATAAAGAAGATGAATTTCTTAGTCAGTTAAGTTAACGTGTGTTTAGGAATTAGCCAGTTGTCATTGAAAGAACGGGAACAAAGATTAGATTCGAAGTAAGGCAGGAAGTTTAGTAATTCAGCATAAATTTTTCATAATTACCATTATCATATAAATAAGTGGTTTTGTGAAACATGGGGTGTGTTTTTGGGATGAAGTTAAATGTCGTACGAATGACTTTGTGATCGCTGATTTCACGTAAGTATGTCGTGTTAAGCTTTCGGGGCTGTTAGTTAGTGCTAGGTCTAAAATGCTTGATGAGAGACACGCGTTCATTCGCTTACCTGTTGCATAAGATTAAAGTTGAGGCCAACTCCCTTGCTTCACTATTTCCGGAAATTGGGGAAGCCTGATTGCGCCAAGTAATGCTAGGAAAGTTGAAATCACCACAGAGGAGAATGTGTGCTGTAGGGTGTTTGTGAGTGAGCTGCAATAATATTTTATTGAGTTTGCGGGCGAAATCAGGATCAGTTCGAGGGGGCCTATAGCATATGCCGAGTATTACTGCTTCGGGGGGAGCACGGCACATTACCCATAATGATTCTTGTTTCGAAGACGTGCTGATTAGATAGCATGACAGTTCTTTCTTAGTGGCGATGAGAAAGCCCCCGCCACATGCGTTTTCGCAGTCATGACGATAAATGTTGAAGTTTGGGAAGTCAGCCGTTGCCTCAGAATCTGAAATGTCATCAGTGAGCTGTTAGTATCAGTATACTACTGCCAGATGATTGTGTTGGATTAGACAGGAGCACGCATTTAGGAAGAAAACTATGTATGTTAGCATAAAGTACAGAAAATGAAAGGTTCGCTTTTGCAGTGCTGATGGCGTGCTTGCTGACGGCTACATGATTTCTATGATACTGCCCTGATGATTCCTGCCAAACTGTCAGAAATATATCGCTAGGCTCCAGTATGCAAGGTTTTGAAACGTAATGAAAAAAGTGCGGATTTGCTTCCAGCAAAGGCAACAAGGCGCTTTCGTGCAGTTCGGACAGCGCGCGTGAAGTCTTCACCAATGCTGAAATTTGTGCCTTTTACTTTAGGGCCATTCCAAAGGATAGATTCTTTAGTTTTGAAGGATGAAAGCTTGACTATGATGGGTCATTTAGGTTAGTATTGTAGCGTCCTAGTCGATGCGCACGCTCTGTATCTCTAGACTCGACTGTAAGACCAAATCTTTCAAGGCAGTGTTTTCGATTATTTCTTCCAATTTGGCGTATGTTTCCTTCGGATTGGTGTCAGCAAGGCCATAGAATATTAAATTGTTGCGCCGGAAATGTTTTTCAAGGTTGTCAATCCGGCCTTCAATGCCACACATACGATGGGTTAGTTGACCCGTCTTGGAGTGAAGGATGTCAACTTCTGTTCGGAGAGTCAAAAGCAATGACTTTCTAGGTCTGTGAGGCACGTGCTTAGATTAGTGATTGTGGTGTTCGTGCTCGCTAGCTGGGTTTTGAGCCTCTGCATCTAAGATATTGAAGTGACCTGGCTGGCAGATAACGTGTGTAGTTCTTCGAGGACAACCTTCTCAGGAGAGGGGTTTGTCTCAGCATCCCCTGGTAGTAGTAGAAGGTGCACATGACATCTATACATTCAAAAATAAGTAAAATGCAGCACTGTGGGCTTGGCAACTGCACCAAAAAACTACCGCTTGATTTTTTAGTACGAGCTTGATACGAACTACCAATCTGCATGATCAGGAGGCACGGGTTAGCGGTCTGCGTAGTGGCACAGCCGCAAAGCCCTTAGTGCGCGGCAGATGGTGGTTGCTGCTTTATAGGCTGAGCATACGATGTTTGCGATAGGGCAGCTGGGTTGATTTTAATGATCCACTGCAGGGGGTATAGGAGCTGCCGAACGTCCTGAAGCATGGGCGACAAGGAGAAGGCGAACGCAGGGTTCGCTTCCGTTGGCAGCAGGCACAAAGTTTCCCCAAGTGGTAGACGAGGCTGCCAGAAAGGCAGACACGAGTGTATCGGCGATGATGCGGGCAAAAACCTGCATGATCAGGAGGAACGGGTTAGCGATCTGCATAGTGGCACACAGCAAAGCCCAGCCGTGAAGCATTAAGGCAGTCACAAGTTAATTCAGTAAAAAAAATAAGGTATTCTAAAATGACAAAAATTACTTATGCATAGGTCAATAACCATCTCCCTAAAAAGCCCCTGGCATGGAGACTGCGCATTCAGACCGAAATCGAGTGCGAATGTGTTTTGGGAACTCATTAAACCGGAAATGTCAGTTTCATTGAATGGCATTAGTTCCCCCTTGTAACAGTAAACAAATGACATTACAGTGAATGATGTTCGCTGTAAATTACATTAGCTTTGCCATGTGACGGGCATATCGCTACAGCACCTCACGACGCTTTCTGAGGCTGTGTTTGCAGTACTTGCCATAGACAGCTACGTGGGCAGCAGCCATGTTAAGTCTTGTCACAGAGCTGACAGGAAATGGAGTTTGAAGATTGCTCCAAAGTTCTAGATGTGTAGTTGGAAGCTGTGCTGAAGGCTTTGAAACTCAATGGGTAGGTCATGTACTCACTAGGAAGTATCTTCACACATTCTTATACGGTCAAACCCCTTTATAAGAGACACTGATATAAAAGAGAAATAGGTATAGCAGACACCAGTGCTTTTGCAGTGAAACACTGGTTGATAAGAAAATGCATACCAGGTACCCTGCTTATAAGAGACATCTCCTTAAAAAGGCAGGAATTGCTGCCTGGAGCATTCCTCTTATGAAGGGGTTTAACTTTACATTTCAAGTGAACTGTGTATCTTATGTTAGTGTACACAAAGTGTCAAGTGATCCCTGAAACTGCGACAGAATGCATGTGCAGGGCTAGCTGGTGTACCTTTGATTCAGTGCTTTGAAAAGTGTCATGAACCAACTAACCCCATTGATTGCTTTGCTCACAGTAAATTATGTGCCCCATGTTTCAGTTCAGCCAGTTTCTATGTATGTTTTTTTTTTTTGCAGATATGCCTGAAGGGTGTAACACGGACAGCCTGGCTGCAAAGATTGAGGAAAATATCCTTTACGCATTTAGCTGCTGCTAGTGGTGCTAATGAGACTGGCATTTACGAGTTTTGTTTTTGGCAGTTAAATGGTTGCACTTTTGGAAAACTAATAATTATTTACTTCAAGACAGGGTTTCATCCTTCTAGCCTTCTAGCTACCACACTCATTTTTGATTGGCTTGATACCAGCGCACCTCCAGCGCCATGTGCATCCTGTCACGCCGGCCTAGCCAAACAACATGAATTCACAGTGAAGTCTGTGAAAGCGGCTTGTAACTAGTGCATGTGTGAAAGAAATTGACAGTTTGCATTCAGTACTTCAATTCAAATGCGTCAATTAATATATATGGTTGATAAATATGGTTCGACAGAGAAACGAGACGAATCCCCGCCTTTTTTTTTCTTTCGGTAAGAAAATGCGTATTTATTTACTTTATTTACATGGTTCCAGAGGCATAGCCAGAAATTTTTCTCGGAGAGGGGTCAATCATACTTTATCTATATTCGTGATTGTGTTTGTATGTGGGTGTATATGCAAGCAAAATTGAAAATTTTGGTGGGTTGGTTTTGGGGGGGGGGGGGGGGGGAACCTCCAACTCGCCACCCCTCTGCTATGCCCTTGCATGGTCCTTATTTTTCCTTATTCCTTATCTAAACAAACATTGTACTTTTTTCACCCAATTTTTTTAACACAGCAGATATGTCACACATAATATGTAGATACCGCTGTTCCTTTATTGTTTCCTTGATCATGAAGCAAGTATCTATAATGAGTTTGGTGACACAAACAATAAATACAAGAATAGGGTGCGAAGCCGGGTCTCCAACCTGAAAGACAGCAAGAATCCTGCCCTGCGACTTAACGTGTTGCATGGTGCCATTGAACCAGAGCGCATTGCCCGAATGACGGCCGAGGTAAGTTCTCGTTTTGCTTTCATTGTTTTGCCGAAACGGCAACAATGGTCCCCCCCTAATAAGGTTCATTGTGACATAATGGGCATGTAATCCTTGGAAAGTTTAGAGAAAATCACAATTTTTTTTATACAGCTGGACTAGTAGCTGTCATAGACATTGGGACCTTTGTTTGAAAACTTTTTTCTCGCAACTGCCATTCACAATCAACACGGATAGCCGTGCTGTTGGGAGTAATGGTGCATTAATGCAGAGCACTGTCACAGTGTTTGTGCATTAGAAAGAATTGTGGATGCTGGGAGGAAGAAGCGCTCAGAGTAACCATCAGACTGCACACACTGTAGGAGAACATACTTATGGAAGTGAAAAACATGTCTGCATAGGCTGGGATTATGCATTTCCTTCTGTCGTTATATAAACTGCAGCACAGAGCATAGAGGTCTCTTCCTACCTGGTGCAATCAAAGTACGATGATGGGTGGAGACTTGGTGCAACTACTTTCACGAGTAAATTTGCCACATGACCCGCTCGCAATCTGCAGGAGATGGCGAGTGACGACATGAAGCAGTTGCGGCAGCGCCTTACCAAGGAGGCCATCAACGACCACCAGATGGCAACAACCGGCGGCACGAAGACTGACCTGCTCAAATGCGGCAAGTGCAAGAAGAACAACTGTACCTACAACCAGGTGCAGACACGCAGTGCCGATGAACCCATGACCACTTTCTGCTTCTGCAACGAGTGCGGCCACCGGTGGAAGGTACAGTTGGAGCTTTTGCTATTTCGCTTACTCTGTGATGAGCTGTTTGGCAGCTCTGCTTTAAAGCAAGGTGCAAAGCAGTGCCCAGCTTTTTGTTTGTCCATGCATCTCACGTCACCTGAACACACTCACAGTAAATCGCTCAGTACAGGCCATTACAAGGCTAGCAAGACAAAAAACATGATAAAATCAACGAAAAAGGTCTAAAATAATATAATTAACCGAAACAACCAAAAAGTGATTGCAACTAGTTAACATTGAATAGCTAACGACAGGTTGGAAGCCTTATGGGGCCGCTTAAAAGAAAGTACCACAGCCTTGCCAAGTTAATGCCTCTTCTCCTATATTTCACCAGCAATGCATCGCTACACGTGTAGCTGGCAGAACTTGCCGCAGGGAACACGTATCTCGACTGCCATAACAAGCAGGTAGTCAATAAATTGCAGCAAAAAGTAGCGCACATGTCGCACACCAAGTTTGCAAATCTCTCTAATAGGACTACTCTTGCCGAGGTAACCATACATGCTTACCTCAAACCATGGCATCATCACATACTATATGAGGGGACTCCTCGAACAGAACACCCGTGCTTCCTCAGGTTTCACAATCTTGGAGCTTCCATACGTCCTAGTTGACAAACTTATGGCGCTTGTTTCATTTGTTACGGAACATACATCATTACACTTCATCCAGGCAACCTACCAAGTCCTTCAGTGATTGCTCACCACAAGTCCTTTATGGGGTCCACTATCAGTGTAGTGCCTGGAATCATTGAGCACAAAACTCGCTTGACCTTTTACTTTACTGAATTCTTTCTCACTGCTAATGTGAACTTATGGCCGGAGCATATTAAGTTTGCCACTCAACGATATCGCCTGGAATAGGAAAACACAAGCATTTATGTACTGTTGATAAATCTTGTCATACTTGTTGCATGTCGAGAAATTTTGTCTTTAGTCGTAGCATAGCATTGTGAAAGCAAATGTATAAGGTCCTCGAGTGAGACGTGTTCTACCAGACGTCACATTAGACAATTTAATTTTTATGCAAATGTTTTCTCTGCCTACCCACATTATTCTTGGCTCGCAAGTGCTTTCTACGCAATGATTCGTATTATTTCGTCATCTTCACTTTGCCTCGAAATGGAGTTGCCTCGCGAGGGCACTCTAAAACTCCGATTTCTCAGACGTGCCATGTATGCTTGCGTGTAAAAAATTGTACCACTGTGGCGCGTTCCATTTCGTACATTTTGTGGTGTCTTTCTTCTGTCCACTGTTAACATTACCATTGTAACGGTTTCCTGTAAAAGACTGATTTTCTCATATGTTCACCCATGCATGTATGCAAATTGTGGGGTCTCGTTTATTCATAACTCTGGAACAAAGCTGCTTCAATGAATTGGTAAGAAAAGAAACATAGTTTCTCAGTGGAGCTCAGAAGTGATGTGAAAATAGTATGATATGTCATGGATTTTATTCCATTGAGGATTGATGTACCATTGTTTGGCTGTATCTCTTCAAGGTCGATCTGAGTCAATTTAGTGAGACAAATAGAATGTCTTGTGTGCCGATCTTGGCTCATAATAACTTTGTGTTTACGATTACCTTGGCTAGTGCAATCTGAATCTCTTTGCTTTTTCTTTTCCCTAGTTCTTCAATCAATTTTCGTGTTGTATTTATGAAGGTACAGTAAAAAGCTGTGCATTTCTGTGACTTCTGAAGACAGGCAACTGTGATATGCATCTGTCATGGTCACAAAGAGGTTACTATGATGCTCACTGTTAATATTATGTTGCTGTTGATATTGAAAATATCAAGAAGCAAAATGTACACATCTATAAGTGTTCAACACTTCTGTGTTAAGTTTTGCTGGGCATGGTTCTCATTTAAGGGCTTTTGGTCATTTGATGACTAGGAGTGTGTGTGTATATATGAAATTACGCATATTTTTCTAATACAGTCGACTCCCGGTCATTCGAAGTCGCTTCATTGGAAGTTTCGGTTAATTAGAAATGAGCAAGTGGTCCCATCAGTTTTGCATGCAATCGTATAGAAAAAAATGCTCGATAATTCGAAGTTAAAAACCCATAATATTGGTTATTTAGAAGTTTTTTCAATCGACAGTCTCGTCGCGACCGTAATTTTACAGTAAAATGGGAAACTTTTCATATGCCAGAACATCTGCCGGACCGCGCTGGTGTCTTGAAGCGGCAATCTTGAAGATCTTGAAGCGGCAATCTTTTTAACGCTGGCGAATCGCATCGGCGGCATCGACTGACTCTTTAGTTGACTTTTCTCGAGACTAGAGTGTGTCACCGCGTCACCCGCGCGCTGGGTTGATTCTACACGTGTTTCCGCGCTTCTGATTTTGAGTGTTGTGGTGGTGACGTACGTTTGATAATGGCAACTCGTGGCCCTTACCGAACGCTAGACCTAGTGACGAAAGTCGAAGTCTTGAAGGAAGTTGACCAGGGAGGCACCGCCAAACAAGACATTGCAAGAAAGTACGGCATTAAGCCTAACACGCTGTCGACTTTCATAAAGAATAAGCGCTCAATATTAGATGCGTTTAAAAGTGAAAAATTCAAGACATCGCGGAAGCGGATGCGCACCGGCGCCTGCCCCGAGTTGGAGGAAACACTGCTGATTTGGATCAGAGAGGCACGAAACAACAAACTTCCTCTCATTGGTGAAGTCGTCACGGCAAAAGAGTCATCGCTTGCTGAAATGTTGGGCGTCAGCGACTTCACTGCTTCGGATGGGTGGCTTACGCGTTTCAAAAATCGCCACGACTTGATTTTTAAAAGCGTGTGTGGGGAGAAGGCGTCAGTCGATGAGGAAACGTGCCTGACATGGAAAGCGGGCAAGCTTCGCGAGTACCTTGAAGAATACCAGCCGGCAAACATTTTTAATGCAGACGAGACTGCGCTTTTTTATCGGCTGCTACCGGACAAGACCCTGACATATAAAGACGACGACTGTTCTGGAGGCAAAAGAAGCAAAGAGAGAGTGTCAGTGCTAGTCGCGGCGAACATGACTGGCACAGAACGGTGTCGCCTGCTTGTGATCGGGAAGGCTGCCAAGCCTAGGTGCTTTAAAGGCGTGAAGACGCTTCCTGTGGATTATGCCTCGAACAGAAAGGCGTGGATGACATCCGATATATTTAAGGACTGGATCACCAAACTCGACCGCAAGTTCGCGCAATCAAGCCGTAAGGTGTTGTTCCTTGTGGACCAATGTAGTGCCCACATGAACGTACCTGCCTTGAGTGCCATCCGTCTTGTGTACCTGCCTGCAAACACGATGTCCGTGTTGCAGCCCATGGACCAGGGCATAATAAAAAATGTGAAGGTATTGTATAGGCAGCATCTCGTCGAGCGCATGCTTTTGTGCATGGACAACTCGTCGCAATACGAGGTGAGTTTGCTTAGTGCCATCAACATGCTAGCGCGAGCTTGGACCCGCGTGAAAGAAGAAACCATCGCCAATTGTTTCCGGGCCTGTGGTTTCATGGAAAACTCGGGGGATGCTTCTCCTTGTGCGCCAGTGGAAGTGCAAACAAATGAGCTCGACGACGGTAGCTTTCGCGCCGCTCTCGGTGACGTCCGTTTTGACGAGTATGTCGCTGTGGACAGCAACGTCGAAACATGCGGTCCACTAACGGACAGCGAAATCGTGCAGATGGTTCGGCCCCATGACTGCATTCCTGAAAATGACGATGATGACGACGACATCGGAAATGAGCCACCACCAACGGCTGCCGATGTAGCTGCGGGTCTTGCTCTTGCGCAGCGGTTTTTTGTTGGAGAACACAACGCCGAAGAAGCACTTCGACACGTGTATTCCTTACAAAACTTGCTAGCCGCAGCCAGATTCGGCAAGTAGAAGAAGATGACAGACTATTTTTTCTCAAAACTGTCGCGCTTTTAAACTAATAAAAGTGCCGTTTTTAGTGCTTTTTGCTTAATTCGAAGTTCGTTTAATTTGAAGTTTTTTGCGGTTCCCGTGAACTTCGTATTAACGGGAGTCGACTGTAGTGCTTGGTATTAGATTTGATTCACACTGGAATTTTCACAATTTCTACTTCCCAAAAGTAAATGCAGTCAATGTCTGATTGAAAGTGACTCTTTCAAAGCTTTATTATGCTTCACCTCATCACATTCTCATACTAAAGCAAAGCTGTTGTTCAGGCTTTGCTGCGGTCGAACTTTTTAGACCAAGTAATATTCTGATTGAAAATGGTCCCTTTAGATTTCTCAAATGCTCCACTTCATCACACTCTAGTATTGCGGCCAAGCCGCCTTTCAAGCTCCGCTACAGTCGCAAATGTATTGACAAACAACATGCTGGTTCCAACATGGGGATGATAGATGTGGCAGAGGTGGGGGTTCAAATAATGCTGTTTTGGACGCAAAATTTGGGCACAAAGTCTGAGGAATTTGACGCTAAAGATTTTTAGCATTCAAAATTACAAATTTCTTGTATGTTGACATTTACTATGCAGGTTTAGCACTCCTAATTTGAGGGAAGCGGAACCTTGTCAGCTACATCAACTGTGCTTCCATAGAAGTTGAAAGAGGAGGAGATGCTCAAAAAATTTCATCTTTGCTTTTCATGTGTAAAGCGTTGTCAGCAACACTTTGGTTGCACCAAATCATGTGCTAATACAATTCGGCCTCTGCGTTGGCCCATTCTTCATAAGACCACTACGAAATGCCACCCTACCAGTGCTTTATAAACTTAGCGAGAAGAAGCACTTTCATGCTGACATATATCTCATTAGCTTATGCTCAGAAATATTTTTCCTTTTGTTCCCGAAAGCTCGATTCACACTCATACTTCAGTATTTGAATTCGCTTCACACCCAAAATTTTCCAATTCACACAGCTATACACTAGTAACCTAAACCCATGCCTAATGTAAATGTGTTTCTGCTTGCAGTTCTGCTGAGCCCCAAGCAACGCTGGACACATCTGAGTTGGCCACGCAAGCGCTCGTTTGGCCAATGCAACGTATCGCAGTTCATCACACGTCCTCCCCCTCGTCCCCCCGCTTGGATCATGTTGCATGCTCAAACACCATCTGCATCTTCTCAAAAAGAAAAACACGATGCTGTGCTCCATCCAGATAAAAGCCAGCTGTTATATTTCTTTTCTCATAGATTAAGTTGGACATCTGTTTTTAAGGCCCACGAGAGTAAAAGCTCTTGAATATCCATAACCTTGTTAAAAAAGTCTTCAAGCTGCCCTTCTGAAAGCCAAATGAAAAGTGCAAGCCCACTCATTAGCAAGCAGGCAAGGCTCGGTTTTAATTCAGTAGGAGAGCAAGATATGTTCATGTGTGACACTGTAGTGCTCTAACCAGGCTATACCAAAGCTGCTTGATTCTGGGCCACATTGTTGCAGTCTTTTGCAGCCAAAACTCTGGTAGCTTTGGAGTGTTCTCCTTGTGCAAACGCTGGGGTTGATGTAGATACCAATCAAGGAAACCTTAATCCTTTCTTTCGTTCCTTTTTAGTGCCCTGAGCATAACCACCGATGAATCGCTGTTCTTCTGAAAGAAGCATGTTATGATTTTCACGTGCTTGTCAAATCATCTGAGCACCATCCAGTAATATAGTTATGTACATTACCTTATTTGTGTGTCTGTTTTGTTTTTCTTTTTGTTGAGCATGCCAATTATTTTATTTAATTCGGTTGCACTTGAAGATAGTCACTTCATCCATATTACTCTCGGAACATGCAGCTTTTTTGTTGTATGGCACTATTCTACATGTAGCAGCCACATTATATGGGGCATGGTTCTAAAGTACAAGCTGCAAAAAATATCTTGCATCACTAGTATGACAAAGGAGATTGCAGTCGCTCGCTACTACGTGCCAGCCAGCATCAGTCAAAGCAACGGCATGAGGGCTTGCATTTGTGCAATACATCTTTTTGTTCTTCGTGGTGATGCTTAGTTATCGCCCATCCCAATAGTTTGTCTGAATAAAGCATAAAGTTTGTGCACATGGCCACGTTGATGTGCACCTAATTTTGTACATCTTCATTTTATATTTAATGATATGTGGGGTTTGAACCTCCCAAAACCTTCGTATGATTATGGGAGACGCCATAGCGGAGGGCTCCGGAAATTGCTACCACCTGGGGTTCTTTAATTTGCACCCAAATCTGAGCACAGGGGCTTACAGTCTTTTCGCCTCCATTGAAAATGCAGCTACCGCAGCCGGCATTCGATCCCATGAGCTGCGGGTCAGCAGCTGAGTACCTTAGCCACTAGACCACTGTGGCGGGGCGATCTTCATTTTTAACATATTTGCATTATGTTCCTGATTGTAATTAGTAATATGTTGGAAGTTGAGAGCATATAAATTTTATTATTTTTAAAAAGAATATTTTGTGGGTTCTGTCTTAGAAGTAGCATATGTAAATACTGTAAAGTATGCATCAGCCTTTAGACAAAATGCAGTTGGAAGTGCAAAACACAGAGTCCAGGATTGACATAACAGAGAAAAAAAACAAAATGAATCGAGGAAGGAGCCTCTTGCTCGAGTCTGCACATTCAGCACACACCTGCTAATGGGAACCACTCACTAGAAACAATGAAGCTTTATATTTTAGTGAAGCTATTTGATGTTTACTTGGACAAGTGCTGCAACACCTTTTTATAATTGATTATATTGATGATTGTCACACTGAAGAGCTATGGTGGTTTTCAGCATTCGATGTTGAGCAATATTTTTGAGTGGTCTGTCATGGCATTGTTTCAGTTCTGGAGTGCAGCGCTTCATATTTTAAAGGATATAGTATTTGAGCAGAGTCTTAATTATGTAGAGGTGCCTAGACGTAAAACCGGGCATGCAAGCCGTGGCAAAACTACGCAAAACCGCATGCCAGCGCAGCCTATCAGAGAATTGGTTCTTAATTTATAAAAAGAAATGGTGCCACTCCATGTTGTTCATCTCTATTTATACATAAATAACCACTTCTCTGAAAGAGTGTGCTGGCATGCAGTTTCGCGCAGTATGGCCACAGCTCACGTGCTCGGTTTTACTTTTGGGGCCATCCAAAATTGGAAAGTGTTTGTGATTGCGTCATATTTCATGTCTGCAAAAATCGCCATGACCGCCTCCGTCGAACAGCCCCATGCAAAGGTCATCCATTAATAAAATGCTGCTGACTCACTGAAACAACAGTCATACCTGCTTATAACGAACCTCCATATAACGAATTCCTAGATATAACGAAGTTTTTTCTATCCCCGCCATTGCCCTATAGAAGCACATGCATTTGCGTCCTCTGTTCTTCATAGCGCAAATTTTCGCCATGGACAATCTAGAATTTCGCCCCGGATTTTATCATTTTGGCACAAGCATGCACCTTCCGCGGCTGCCCCATTGCCGACGCGGCTGCCCCATTGCCGACGAAGCGGTAGCGGCGCGCTCATGGCTGCAGCGACTCCCACGCGAGAGCTAGGCGGGCAGGCGAGCCTGCGCCCCACGAGCCGGCATTGCCGCCGTTCTTTCCGCCGCGGGCGCATTCGCGGATGCGCCCTGGTAATGAGGGAGCTAGGTTAAATTTGAATTTCAGCGGGGAAAATCGGCAATCATAATTTTTAGTTATAACAAAGGCAGTGGGCATAAGATACAGAAAGTCACGCTAGAAATAGTGGATAAATACAAATAATTGGGCGCGTGGATAAATAACAGGGCTGAGTACCTAAGAGAGCACGAAAGATGCGTAATGACCTAGGGTAACAGGAATGCAGCTGTAATGAAAATTAGGGCGCTGTGGAACTACAATAAGTACGACGTAAAGAGATTTGGAAAGGTGTATGGCCCCGGGTTTGACGTTCGGCAATGCGGTTTTGTGCATGAAATCAGAGGTTCAAGCAAGATTGGAAATTAAACAGCTTGGCATAGGTAGACTTGCTTTGGGAACACAGGGGAATACCCCAAATCAGGGGTTACAAGGTGACCTGAGATGGACATCGTTTGAGTGCAGGGAAGCTCGCAGCAAGATGGAATTTAAAGAGAGATTAAGAAAAATGGGAGATCAGCGTTGGGCTAGGAAAGTTTTCAGCTGCTTGTACATGAATGTCGATACCAAATGAAGAAAGCGAACTCGAAAATTGTCAAGCAAGTATTTAGACAACAGCAGAACACCAAGCCAGACGAAAACATCGGTTAAAGAGAAAATGAAAGAAACGGAGAGGGACATGTCGAACATTGGAATGCTTACGAAACAATCACTGGATACCTACCGAATATTCAAGCAGGAAATTGCAAAAGAAAAGATCTACGATAATTCTCGGGGTAGTTCTCTGCTCTTCGAGGCTAGAACGGAAGACCTACCGAGCCAAATACGAAGGCACAGACACGGTATGTAGTGGGTGTGGAAAGAATGAAATGGCTGAACATTTGATATTATCCTGTGAAGGAATAATGGTGCGGAATTTTTCAAAGCATTGGGGTTTAGGGACAGAGAAGGCAAAATAAACTCTAAACTGGTAGAAATAACCAGGAGGAGGCTAACTGGGTACAGCTGGATACACCCAGTTAACCTTCCTCTCCTTTCAAACAAAAAAAGAAAACTACTTTTGAGTTGGCAGTGACATGCTTTTAGTAGTGTGTACACTGTACTTTTAGTTAGCGTCTCGTCGTGCGGGGCCGCGCCACAGAACACGCCGCGCTGCATATGGAGGGCGCTTTACCGCATAGTATTTCGAGGTATCTGTGTCGTTCGCTGAGCGTATTCGACGTCCTGCGCGTATAATTACTTTCACGGTAGGTGTTCTGTGGTTTCACTTTTCGCACATCACCTTTCATTCCTCCGTGCCGCACATGGTGTGCCCCGACACAGCCTCCTATATTTTCCTTGCCTGGATTATCGGCGGTCGCTTGGGTAACGGCCGTCGTCGGAACTGTGGTGGTGGCGCTACTTAAATAGGGTTGTCTTCAAACAAGTTTTTACGTTTTTTGAGCTTATATGCAACAAAAATTACGTATTTTTTTAATAAGGCGTAAACTTAACTATATTTCATTACAATTACCCTACGTAAGTGACGCTGCCATAAATGATGGGCGTTTTGCGCTCATTTAGCAGGCAACCTCTTTAATACATGACATAGCCTCTAAAATTAACAAACGTCAAAGTTGCCAATCTTGAAGGCCAAGTACAAAGCCCTTTAATTCTACGTAGGTAGCGCCGTCATAAATGACGGATGTTTCGTGCTCATTCGGCAGGCGAAAAACTATATAGGAGGCTATGGCCGCGATGACGTCCAGCTTTGCTTTTTTTTTTTAATATAGACATGCAGCTTGATTGTGTATATTGCACGGAGGAAGGAAAGGAGGAACCTTTCCTTCCCCCGGGTGTATATTCGCTATATACAAGTACCGTCATGTAGCATACAATCTAGGAACTAAACAAAAACAGCCGACTGACGAGGCGCTTTTTTTCGTTGGGCACAACTACAGCGACCCAGAAGTACATAAGTTATGAGAATTCAGAATGACCAAAACCCAAGAAAAAATGTAAAGCATGGCCTCCAAGGTTTAGGCTATTAGTAAAGCATAGAACCTTTCCTTCATCCGTGGTTTCATACAATTTTTGTGTGAAACTACGAAGAAAGTGAAACTCTACGTAGTAAAGCGAAAATTGCATTACAAAGCTCTCTTGTAGTGCTGCGATTATTAACTAGATAGTGAAATAAATGACACAAAAAATATTTGATAGTGAGTTAGTTGATTGAAGGTTAGAAAAATAGCAATTAAATGTTAAAATTTAAAGTTCACTGGAGTGATGTAGCCATAAAGCTAATATGTATGGATTTAGCGTCTTATTTATTGATTTTTAGGCAGTGTGGCGAGCAACAAACGAGCCAAAGCGAGTCCGAATACAAGTCGACAGAGAAATGCTTGTACCCACGGAGGAAGGAAAAGTGCTTGTACCGGTTGCGCCGTCTTCAAGTTCTGCAATCTAAGGACAGTACGCGTTTGTACATTCGTAATTGTTCTAGTCAAGTAGTGCGTCGTGTTGATTCGGGCGTTGTCCCATCCTCGTCTACTCACATGGCGCACCACCATCACGGTGACGGCGGCGACCCGTGTGGAGGCCACGGGGGAGACTCTTCCAACGGACTTGAGACGGGTGTACAGTACTCGCTCTACTCCAAAATAGACCTTGACAACGTTGAGTGCCTAAACGAAAAGGAGGAAGGGTCCGGCAAGTTGGTCTTCAAGCCATGGGAGCAGAGATTGGATCGCGAGAAGGCGAGTGACTCATGTCATCCAGATGACATGACAAAATATCTCAAATCTTTTCTGTCGCGATCAGACTTATTCTTGGAACCTTGGCTCCTTTCACAAATGCTGGTAGTGATCTGGACTCCAGGGAGTCTTGAGCATGACTTGCGTTTTCGATCCCACGGGGCTAGAATTTGAACTGGAGAAAGTGCATAAAACATGTGAATCAGTGGCAATGAGAACAGGCCGTGATGTAAAAGAAATAGTGTAGGGGATGTTATTAGAAGTAATGTAAATGTGAAGAAACAAAAGTGGTAGGGTCCGAACCTGCGATGCACAGGATGGTCTACCGGACGCGTTATTTGAAGGTCGCAAGTTCGGTCCCTGCCAACGACTAATGATCTTTTCGTCCACTTTTCTTTCTTCAAATTTTCATTACAGTTAGTTCTAATAACATCCCATACGCCTTCCTTAACATCAGGGTCTCTTCGTTCTCGCTAGTATTGTGTCTAACAAAGAAAAACGAGCCCCTAAATTCCCATTTCTTTCCGTGAAACAGTGGTGTCATTCTGAAAGGTAAGTACACAGCAACGTGGGGAGTAGCCAGCATTTTATTTTGGAGAGGGATTCAAACACTTCCCAACACAGTCTGGCTATGCTATGATTGTGACTCATATGGCGTGCATTGAAGAAGTTTGACACTACTTGGTCCCCTGTACCTCCGAACGAAAGGGCAGTGGACAGACGTGTGATATTGAGCCTGCTTCACTGGTGCCTCGCACACCGCAAAATTGTAGCGATATGTGACTGTGGAACATTGCACGAGCACTATTCAATGCAGAAGTTTGGTCTTGTGGATGATAGCCGAACTTAAACATATTAAAGGGACACCAAAAGTCAAATAACAATTTATGTCAGCGTGAAAGCTTAATGTATGACGATGGCTAAAACAACAATGTTGTCAACAGCAGTGCCCTACTTACCGAGAAATTGATGTATATGCACGAGAACACGCGCACTACGATAGCACATTCGCACAATGATCCCGATGACGTCAGAGTTACCGCCTACGATTAATCACTAGTAATCAAACTAGCTGTACTAAATAAAGAACCTTCCGCCCATAGAGATACGTATTGCTTCTTGTTCTTTTCTGTTTGATTCATGAAAAAAATTACCGCCGCACGTTACTACGGGGAGTGGCGCGATTGGTTCAAAAGTTCAATTTTTGCCTGGTTGAACCACTGATCTCTACTAGGGGGAGCTGGACGGTGCATTGAGCGCGCAAGGTTGAAGCCACCTGTTCATGTTCCCATGTTCCGCCAGTTAACCCGGTCCTGTGCTTGCTGCTGCCAATTTATACCCGCAAACTTCTTAATCTCATCTGCCCACCTAACCTTCTGTCTCCCCCTAACCTGCTTTCCTTCTTTGGGAATCCAGTTAGTTACCCTTAATGACCAGCGGTTATCCCGTCTACGCGCTACATGCCCGGCCCATGTCCATTTCCTCATCTTTATTTCAACTATGATATCCTTAACCCCCGTTTGTCCCCTAATCCACTCTGCTCTCTTCTTGTCTCTTAAGGTTACACCTACCATTTTTCTTTCCATTGCTCGCTGCGTCGTGCTCAATTTAAGCTGAACCCTCTTTGTGAGTCTCCAGGTTTCTGCTCCGTACCTAAGTACCGGCAAGATACAGCTGTTATATACCTTCATCTTAAGGGATAATGGCAATCTACCTATCATAATTTGAGAGTGCTTGCCGAATGCGCTCCACCCCATTCTTATTCTTCTAGTTACTTCAATCTCGTGGTTAGGCTCTGCGGTTATTACCTGCCCTAAGTAGACATAGTCTTTACTACTTCAAGTGCACTATTACCTATCTCGAAGCGCTGCTCCTTTCCGAGGTTGTTGTACATTACTTTCGTTTTCTGCAGATTAATTTTAAGACCCACCTTTCTGCTCTCCTTGTGTAACTCCGTAATCATGAGTTGCAATTCGTTCTTGAGTTACTCATCAATGCAATGTCATCGGCGAAGCGCAGGTTACTAAGGTATTCTCCATGAACTCTTATCCCTAACTGTTCCCATTCTAGGCTTCTGAAAACCTCCTATAAGCATGCGGTAAATAGCATTGGGGAGATTGTGTCCCCCTGCCTTACACCCTTCTTGATTGGTATTCTGTTGCTTTCTTCATGAAGCACCATGGTAGCAGTTGATCCCCTGTAGATTTCTTCCAGAATGTTTATATATACTTCATCTACGCCCTGATTCCGCAGTGTCTGTGTTTTACACATAAGTACCTCGAAATAATATTTATTTTTACGCGTTCTGCAAAAAAAATATGGTGTTTGATCGCCTATTTTTTTATCGGAGCGCGCTGAAGGTGTTTGGTTTTTTTACATGCAGTTTCCCACGCCCGAGGCCTCAAATATATGAGAAGTGGGTCAGTAACTTAAAGAGCGACAACTGGATGCCGACTCTAAGAAGCAGACATTGCGGGGACCATTTTGCAGTCATGTTTGGCCCCTCGCTCCCAAAAACTTATCTTCGAAACGATGTCATCCCAACATTGTTTTCTTTCCCGGATCAATCACAAAAGACAAACCTTTGTGACCAGTACATTCCTTCTTTCTTTTTCTTGTAAAAATTGCTGTGAAAATTCTTTTTTTCTGTCACCTGACTAACTAGTAATTGTAACGTTGTACGTAACAGCACTGCGCTATGTTCAAAGGGCGTCGCTATGGCGTCTGTCATTTTTCGTGTAGCGTTGGATGACCACAAAAATGTTATATTATAAAAATAATACATAAAAGTTACAATCACAACAACTGACACCAGATATTTTATCAATTACACTCCTGAAATGCCCAGAAGACGCCAGATTTCGAGACACCAAAGGGACTTTCTGGTGACTTCACAAGGGCCCGCATGGGTGAGGGGGGATGCGTCGTCCAGCCTTTTTAATGGAAGTCAGTGGGTTGAACTGGACAGGTCGTGCCATCTAGCGGGACCCAGTTGAACCAAGCATGCCTGCCATTGCAGAGGCCCTAGCAGGAAATTGTTCAATCGCTGTTGTTGCTGCTATGGCCCCCGCTACTTTCGCTCTACTACTACTATGTCGGCGGTTGCGCAGTTAAGTCGTGCAACGTTGTACATGGCAACAGTGATGTGAAAGGTTCTGATTGAGGTGGGTAATTTGAAGTGTGCTAACGCAATGTGGACCACTAAATTGTGATTTTCAAAATAAGCACTTCCTTGGCATAAAAGTAGTAGCACTACGAGGATTCTGGACCGTGCTTTCAGCAATCAACATCAACTTAATATTCGCCTTTAGTGTCCCTTTAACAGCTCAAAGTAACCCTCAGACAATGAGAAGACATGTGTACTGTACACGCACTAGACATCAACTGTAGGGTTTACTGATGAAAACAACTGCGATGCACACTCGTGCGCGAAAGTTTCCCAAAATGAAGAAAAATGTGGAATCACATTTTCTCTCCTACTCTAGATTGGGTGTTTTCTGTTTGCCTTCTAGATTCTGTGCCCATTTTTGTTGCATAATTTCTAGCAATAACTTTAGCTCTCCACAAATTGACAGAATCAGCTAGTTCTGCAGTAATTTTTACTGATTCACTATCAGTGTGTTCCTCTCTCACTGCAAATGTGGACTCACAGGTTCTGACTGCTTTCGGATCATTAGTACCACCGCGTATACAGCTGATTAAGTTGGTTTGGGTTCTAGGACATGAGGGACTTTTCCTCATTGTAATGGTGGATGCATTACTAATTCATCTTTGAATGACCCAGTTGTTGACTTATTACCGGCATCCTAATTCATTATTGGGGCTAGATTAAGGAGGAAAATGATTTTAGAAAAAATTTCTCTACCATTCATTATGACAACTTCAGAATTTCAGCACCTTAATCATCATTCTAATAGTAAAATATGTCACTTATAAGCAATTGATGTAGCAGTGCCAAACTCAGTGTCTCATTCTAAAAAAACACGGGGTGTGTAAATATGGATACAAGAAGGTAGTCAGCACACTACAAAAGCCTACTATCAACTGAAGATGCATGCAACAGCAAAGAAGTAAGAACGCATGCACGGTGGTCTACGGGAAGGATGACTTTAAAAGGACATCAATGAGCAAAACGGTTTTTTGCATATTAGTAAAGTACGATTTCACAATCTCAAAAACAGCACGACACGGCACTTGGTAAGTGAGAAAACGCGTGAAAAGAAAATGCGGGTTGTGATGCCACATTGAGATTCCCGAAATAAAACTATGACACGAGAAATTTTGAAAATGTCTACTAGAGGGGGGGGGGGGGTGTTCCTACGTAGCTTCCAAAAGTACATTGTCACATGTGGGCGTCATAAGCATAGCATACAAAGTTTCAGAAAATTTCATCGAGCCAATGCCATGAGAATACCAAAAATACACATTGAAATTTCTGACGTCACATGCGGAGATTTTGTCATGAAATTTGAAAATGAAAGTTCAACTTTCATTTTCTTCACTAATAATGAACTTATCAAAGTAAAACGTACGACATTGCAGTTCTCAGAGTGCAGTTTATGAATCCAAATCAAGTCATTATTCCTCTTTAGTGTCCCTTTAAGGCAGTGGTTCTCAGCCATGTGGCTCGGGGGTCTTTGTGGGCTGGTGTAAGTGATGGGGGACCCCTTGCTGCAGAGTGGAGTGAGGGGGGATACGTAGGGAAATTAACACAACTAGAGCGTGAAATAGATGCATTTTATTGCTACCAAACATCAAACAAATGTGCCAAATCACTTCATTTTGGGTTGTCCATCAATAAGTGGCACAGTCACGCTTAAAGAAAAACGCGGGTGAGGGTCTCGCGGATCATAGAAATGCTTTCACGGACCCCCAATTGAGGACCACTGCTTTAAGGAATTTGACTTCATTTTTATGCAAGTGAATAGACAGTTGGCTCGCGCATGTGACACCACTATTGTCGATATGCCATGCCTCAATCATCAGGTGTGTTTCTTTGTTCTTATGCTGGTACAAAACTGCACATTCATCGAATTTGGTTGTGCACTTACACTCTCCACAATGTGAAGAAAGATTACAAGGTGAGCCTCTGGTTAGCGATCTCTTATGTTCCAACAATCTCTGGTTAATGCAGCGGGCCGTCTGTTCTATTCAGAAGTGACCATGGCTGCAAGGGACCTTAAATAGAGTGATGAGCTGCAATGCTTCGTAAAATTTTCTGGAATACATATATTGAAATACGTCGGTTAGCAGTGTGAAATCTAGATACTGAAGTATATTTCCCATTATCGTAATGGGATATTTCGGAGGTACTCTTGAAAAAAGTCCGAAAAAATATTCCGGAATACAGATACTGCAATACAGACCTGGTGCCACTTCCTCCTCCAGATGCAGGAATACTTTTCTAGAGGGGGAGGCTGATATTTCACAAAAACAATAATTAGTGCAACATAATGTTGTAAACAAAATTGCAGAGCATGGAGCCTTGTAGTTTAATTTTTGTTTATTACAGTATGCTCAGTGCCATTAAACATAACAGAGGGGTGCTCACAATGTGCATTACGGGTAATAATTACAGTTATCAGTTGTAATTATGAAATGGCTTGCCACCCAAAAAGTCGGGCTGGGTGCACTGGCCTTGAACGAGTGTGACTTTCAGGAGCCTACAATACTGTGTCTGCAATTCTGCCATCAGCGTTCTCATACGCTTTAGCACATGGGCCATTATGTGCTTGATGGGAAGCCATCGGGCCCTAACATTCTTGCCGACCAACGGGGTACCTTTGATTGCCTTGGCACAAAAAAAAAAAAAAGAAGAAGAAGAAGAAAAAGAGAAGACTTTATTCTCCCTTTGAAAGCACTGATAATGCACCTAGACTAATTTCTCGAATAAAAATGTAACAAGATACCCGTGCCTTGCATAGTATTGTAATACAACCTCATTATAAAGGTATTTCACTACTGAGATACACATTTATTTTTTAAAGATATCTGGATACAGAAATAAAGTCTCTCTGAGATAAATATAGCAATACTGCTCAGCCCGGCTGATATACTACACTTGTACGGCAGCCAGTAAAATTGGTGTGTCTAACAAAACAAAAATCAGTGTGCTTCTTGTCTTTTACTCGCTCATTCTTTCTCTGCACAGTAACACAAATTTTACCTGGCTTATTGGCAGCCATGAAAGCAATGTTAACGTCTTATCTACTTTCTACTTTCCATAGCACGTGAAATAGACAATTGTGGGCAAATGGTAAGCGCAGGTTAGCCAGATGGGCACAGGAAACACCCGTAGACGAAGACGCACCACTTTATATACATATCGCCACAGACACGGGACTACACTACGTGACATATATACATGTAATTACAACTAGCATGAACATGTTCCACACTCACATCATTGCTGTTAATCTCGGTGCTTCAGTCGTGGAGTTGTCGAAGAGCGAAGCTCCGAGCTCTCGTCAGGCGTTCCCCGATCAAGGGGTGGTTTGCAATGGTGCACAAAGCCAAGTCAGTGGCGCACATCCTGTGGTCTTGATCTCAGCGGGCCGGAAGAGGGCCGCCTGGACTCTGCACCAGGACGGGGGTGAGTTGCCTCATCTTCGTCAGGACTCGTGCGTGACCCGGCTCAGCTGATACATGCCAGGGAGAAACCCAGTGCAGCAGTGTTGGCACCTGGTACAGCACCAGGGACGACGAGAACAGTGCCGCAAAGGGTGGCTTGAACGGTACCTCGAACAGCGACAGGCTGGGGCCAGGGACAAGGCCAGCCACTCGCCGATAACGTCGCCGCGGAACCGCAGCCGGGGACAGGTAGGGCAATGCCCAGCCAGTAGTCCTCTGGATCGTGGAAGCCGGGATGGGCCCCGGACCAGCAGCGTCGGATCAGATGTTTGGACGTGGCCTGCTGCACGACCGCCCAATGGGTTTCTCTGCCCCTCGCCAAAAGATCCCCGTTGCTCGAGGTCTTAGCTAATCCCCGCACACGAATACGTGCATTGCCGTGCTTCTTCTACTTCACCATAATCATCATTATTCACCATCATGGCGAAAGCTGTGCACTTCAAATCGGCTCCGCACACCGCACACAAACAGTTGTACACGACGACTCGCACACCTCAAGTCGATGTTTCTACCACAGCAATGAATGTACGGTATAGACGTTTTTATCGGAGAGGAGGATCCCCTGCTTTCCAAGCTGTTGCACGGGAGTACAAAAGTTGACGTCACAGATTTGGCCCTGCATTTTTGGGGGTCACGCATGTTAACAACAGCCCAGAGGGGCTTATGGCGGCGCCCAGGGAGCTTTCAGTAAAGAAATCTATACATACGACATGTTTGTTCAGGCCTAACATAACAGACTTCTTTAAAGATTCAGCGATAGTAACCACTGTAAAAACAGAATAACATTAATCTAAAAGACATGTAACCTGTGCATTGAAGCTGTTGCTCATTTTTTGCCCAGAAGACTTCGTGAGGGCTGACTTCAAAGAACTCTTGACAGCGAAAGTATTGTTTGCAACTTTTTTATGGGTATTTGTACCTTTGCGTATGGTAATGCCGAAATTGAATTCTAAATACTCTAACACATCGTGTAATTTATGCAAGCATCTATACTTCAGTACCATTTTGCACCAGTTAGAAACGTCTGCCTAAATTGCATATGAAGCTAGCGCCTCACACTGGGGCAGCGCCAGAGACTACCTTCACTCAAGCTTCGGTGAGGCTGATCGCACTGTTTTCAAATAGAGGGACCTGCAGGTGCTGATGAATGAAACGATGTGGATGCTTTGAACGTGTCCCCCTCAGAAAAAAAGAAAGGCATTCCTGGCGCAAGCAGCCAAATTCACCTTGAGAGCAGCACGACAACAGAGCGAGAGGGGTGACAAACAATAGTCCTCACCAAGTCACAGTCGGCCTATATTTTGTGCGCTTCAAATGTTCTCTAATGCCAACAATACTTGCTTGACCCCTGTAACATCAAGATGGTGTCCATGTGTACATAAAACCACAAAAAATGTCGATTGCACTTGAACGCTCGTACAAGCATGCACCCTCACTTTAAAACCAAATTAAATGATCTTATAGGCAATACTCGTCACTAATAATCAGTCGGACTTGCTTCTGCATGCAGGACTCTCAAACAACACAATGTCGAGTTTATAATTTTGGTGTCAGGGGTCTGTTAAGGCAAGACATGCCTATTCAGTGTTTCAATTTTTTTTTTAACTGAACTGGTCTGACAGCTTCAGGCTATAGAATAAATCATTACTGCTGTATTAATAGCTTTCTAATTGTTTTTATTTCTTAATCAAATGAGCTGCGTGATTCTGTTATATACATAATTTCTATTTATCTATTGTTATCACATAAATTTTTCTTGTTTTTGTTACTTTCATCCTTTTAGCAGGCATAAGCTAACAATTTTTTTCATTTTTATTATTTTTATTGAAGAACTACTCAGTTTCTAACCGAGATTTCCTCGGTTAGCGTGGGTGTGTATCACAGATGAAAGCTCTTCTTCACCAAAAGAAGGCGCAGACTGCTCGTTTAATAAAGAGAGGCACTGCAGTGTTGCTCGAGATACGCTTTTTTTTTTTCCTGAAATGTCTGCTCACACATTTATTAGATTCAAAACTAATACAAAAAGCCTGAAATGTTCTTCTAGGTTGCTGCTTATCAACGTTTGCATCAAATGGCTGCCCTTCAAATCAGGCAGACAATTGCACCTTTGGCTGTGATAGCTGCTTGGTATGAACACATTGGTGGAATAAAGGGGAATAAAAAAGAAAGCAACAGCCTAGCAGTATGACCGGCTGATATGCAAACCACCTCCCTTATGTGCCTGTTTTTGACTTACCTGTTTGCAGTATGTGGACAGCGATGTAGATGAGGAGCTCCTCTTCAACATCCCGTATGTACCATAGCTGAGTGAAGAAGCCTGCTGGAATCTTGTTCCTCATGGTGCGTGTCTTGCAGCTTCACTGGAAATGTCAAGCTCAAGTCCATCCTAATTGTGGGAGGCGTGGCTGGCATGCACCCTTCCAAGGTTCGCATGTGAGTAAAGCACCAATGTGTATCCATGAAAAACTCCATAAGCGGGGCTTGTGTGGTCGAGCCGATGTTTTGACTAGTGAACTGGTGTTTTTCAAGGCTAGAACTAGTCTTGAAAAAAACTAGTCCACTTGTCGAAATGTCAGCTCAAGCACATAAGCCCCGGTTACAAACTATTATCGGAAGCTTCCATCCTCCCTTTCCCTCAGTTTTTTTACAGCAAAAGCTGTTATGAGATCGCAACTCAGGTCACGCGCAGTTGTCTGCCGCCACCACCGGTGTCCATAACCGCATCGCCCGAATTTAGACAAAAAAAAAAAACCTAGCATTAAAGACATAGTGGGGCTCAAAACCCTGGTCTTCCGGGTGCCAGCCCAGTATTCTACCACTGAGCTACGCTGGTGCTAGTGACTTCTTGGCAAACCTAACACCAGAGACACTGTGGGGCTCGAACGTGGGTCCGCTGGGTGCCAGCCCAGTATTCTACCACTGAGCTGCTCCGGTGCTTGCGACTAGTTGTCAAACTTGCCTTAGGCAGGCCTGATGTCGGGAAAGCAATCGCGTTAATACGATTTGTAAAGCGTTTTGAAATAGCGAAAGAACAATCAGTCGTCGCACAATGCGAATAGTGTAACGAGTGGGTCGTCTAATGCTACAACCTATTACAAAAGCTTGTTCTTGTTCCCCTATTAACTGTTGTGCATACCCACTTCAGCCATAATTCCTCATCGCCATCAGCCACTGCATCAACAATTGGCATTAAATTCCTTGCAAGTGTTTAGCGGAGCCCCGCCGCGGTGGTCTAGTGGTTGAGGTACTCGGCTACTGACCCGCAAGTCGCGGGATCGAATCCAGGCTGCGGCGGCTGCATTTCCGATGGAGGCGGAAATGTTGTAGGCCCGTGTGCTCAGATTTGGGTGCACGTTAAAGAACCCCAGGTGGTCGAAATTTCCGGAGCCCTCCTCTACGGCGTCTCTCATAATCTTATGGTGGTTTTGGGACGTTAAACTCCACACATCAATCATCAAATCAGTGTTTAGCGGACACCACGCTTCTCAGAAGAATGACAAAAACTAGCATAGCTAATGCCGGCCTAGTACCCAAAAGTTTATTATAAATGCCCTAGTGGGTACCAATCAAGTGTGCTTGCAGTAGTTACCCAATGAGTGTTTAGAAAAGGCTCTGAAAAGCCGCTCTCCTAGCTTTCGCTGTGACTGTGCTGCACCTTCCGCACAGGCCCGGCATTTTCTTTTTTTCCCCCTCTAAGTATCTAGTAACCCAGAGCTGGTGTTTCAACCTGTTACACTTAGAAAGGCTGAATGTGTACTATATGACAGGCAAACGCCACATGGTGTTAACATCTGGTTAATAACATCAGTCTGCAGTGCACGCCCATTCGTGCAGATTTCTGTGTGTCTGTCTTTGATGGAAGAATACCACTTACTTCTGAATTTGTATGCCTGTCTATAGTTTTGTGCACTTTATAATTTTTGAACGTCGTGAATAACCTAATCGAAGTGAGCTTTATTGAAAATGTTAGTTTTGGAAGATAATACTGGCATACACAAGGTTCACTTGTGAGTAATGGACCACAGTGTATTTAGTAGCGCCTTGTAGGCAGTGTTGCAACCTGTTAAACTTTGAAAGGTATAATGAGCACTGAATGACAGGCACACGCAGTACGGTGTTCACGTCTTCCAGTTCATAACGCAGAGTTCATGCTCATTGGTGCAGACTTGTGTGCGTCTGCCTTTGATGCATAAATGTCGCTGCCTTGTAAGTGTGTACGCCTAACTGTTGTTGTGTGTGCTTCATAATTCTGGAAAATTGAGAACGAACTCAGCAATTAACAAGCTTTATTGAAAAAATTAAGGACTTTTCAGTGTGCATTGGGATGAGCAATGATGGGCGTAATGCTAAAAGATAGGAAGAGAGCGAAGTGGATGTAAGAGCAAACAAGTGTAGCTGATAGTGTACTTAAAATGGATCTGTGCAGTCTACACAATGCGTAAGGCAGATAACTTAAGGTGGTCAGTTAGAACAACAGAATTGCTATTAAGTGATGAAAAGTCCAGCTGAGGATAAGAGAAGGTTGGACGGGGATGATGAAATTAAAAATTTACAGGGATGAAATGAAATCCGCTCGCATAAGACAGGGTAAACAGGAGTTGGGGCTTTCGTAGTGGATGTAAAAAAGCAGGCTGATGTTGTTGATTATGATGATAACATACACTAGAGAACTTTGTTTGTCTGCACATTGTATTGTCCCTTTTATATTTATTTTCAGGTTCAAGAATCGGCGACAGATGACATTTCGCGATGTCCGTGCAACGCCCGAACAGGAGTTTGAGCTGCAGCCTGATGCCAGTGGTAACTTGGAGTACCCTGTCAGGTTTGCCACTTTCTCCCCTTCTGTTGTGGTATGTTCTTCATATACAGCTGTGCTTACAAAGTGAAATGTATAGATTATAAGTCAAACTGTGCGAGCAAGACTTTGCAGAAGCCAACAAGGGTCAGGGCAACACTGTGCAGGACTGTAAAGTTCTCCAGTGTGCACCACTTGTCGCTGCACTTCCCGAGCAACTTTGGGAGCGACACAACGCGTGTCTACTACATCGGCCTGCATGGGGAGTTCACACAGGTGGGTCTCCACTTAGCACTAATCACAAGTCCGCCTCTTCATAATTTCATGATATAAGCAGCGCAGTGTACACCATAACAGCACCACTAGTCAAGATTTTGTGTCTCATTCGCAGACTGTCAGTATCCTATACCACATATAAGAATTGTGTGAGGCCGGCTGACAAGGTACAACATAATAGGGCAGGGCTCATTCAATATGTTCTTCTGGTGTCTGGCAAAACATATCTAGGTAATATTTTGGACATTTCATTCTTGCATTGATCGACTTGGTATTGTAACTGGGAAAGATTTTACGGATGTTTTAGCTACCACCACAGTGTTATGGTCACCGCTTTGAACAAGTAGTTTCTTTTCAAAGCAAACTCTATATCATAATCTACTGTAAGTGCCTTGTGTCTATTAGGCCAAAACCTAGCATTCTTTGCGGCTTTCTGGGAAAGTACGCACCACACTTGGAAGGAGGAGGGGGGCTGTATGCTATTCATAATTTGGCTGGCCGAGAACTGTATACATGAGAGATACTGTCAATGCTGGTTCTCACAAACTATGAAAGTGCACATGAGGGCATAGGTAGGTGAACTCACTCAGACTCTGATCAAGTTATGAGTGTGAGTGTCTCTAGGTGAGTAATATCATGGTGAATCTGAATCCGAGTGAGTCCAGTTGAAGAAAATTTTCGTTAGTGTGAGTCTGAGTGAGCCTGGATTAGGAAAATTTTGGTGAGCCTGAGAGAGTTTAAAGTGCCAAATTTATTTCATAAGTGAGTCTGAGTGAGCTCGACAGATTTTGCCGACCTATGCATGAGGGTGTAATCAAGGCATAGCAGCAGGGGGGAGTGAAGTATTCTTTGGACGTTCCACTTTAATGTTGCCTGTGGCTACAAAATCTTTCATGGCGTTATGTTTATGGGCATGCAGAACTCCGTTCAGTGATGACAGAAGTTTTAACTCATCACGAAATTGCAATTGGAAATGCTGCATAACTATTTACCTCCGCTATATGGCGCGGCGGCTGCATTTCCGATGGAGGCGGAAATGTTGTAGGCCCGTGTGCTCAGATTTGGGCGCCGTTAAAGAACCCCAGGTGGTCGAAATTTCCGGAGCCCTCCACTACGGCGTCTCTCATAATCATATGGTGGTGTTGGGACGTTAAACCCCACATATCAATCAAATCTATCAATCCGCTATATGGCAGAAAAGAACAGTATTCAAACCTGAGAAAAAGAGAGAAGTTTGTAGCCTGTGATCTCGAGTGGAGAAAGGTTAGTGTTACTGTAGTGCCTAAGGCGCAATGCAATTTATTTTATGCGTGCAGGCTCAGAGGCAAGGTGTGGTGTTGTGCAGCTATGAGAGTGCCGCCAACCCTGCCGACCACAAGGTGCAGCATCTCCAGCGAGCCAACTTTTTGATACAGTAATAAAAGCAAAGTGAGACTACTCGCTTGCAAGTTGTTTAAATTTTCTGTTTGTAGTGCATTGTCATCTTAATTAGAGAGCTATGACAGCTGCAGTCTGTGTCAGACATCAGGCAGAAGCTCTATCTCGGTGCCAACTCCAATTTTCTTATTCAAGTACACAAAGAATACAGCAATGACTTCACTCCTGCACCAAATCAGGTATACTGCGCCATCCTGATTATATCAACTGAAAGTGTGCCAAAGTCGGACTTGGAAGCGTCTATTACTGGCAATAACCACGCTAGTGGGTCAAAACAGGTGCACCTTGTTCTCGGGGCTACCTAAGTCAAAATCATGTACTTAGCACTATTCCGCCAAATAAACAGCGGTCGCACCTGCGTCCAAAGCAATCCCCATTGCTATGCTTGGTGCGGACGCAACTTCTGTTGTACAAGTCTGCTTAACTGCGAAATGCACTCTCCGCAAGACTTGTGACGTCTAGGCCACTTGGTAGCGTGAAACTGTGGCATTGATTCATCGGCGGACATCATCCGTTCTAGCAACGTGGCTGATAGCTTGTTAAGCGTTGTGCAGCACGCAATTAAAGTAATTTTCACTAATAACTGCACGCGTTCTGCCAGAATTTTCTGTCACGTTTACTTTTGGACATCTCAATATACTTTTCTGTGTTTCTCATTCTCAGAACACGTGGACGGTGAAAACGCGTTGACACTTTTCCTTTAAATACTTTGTTCATGGATCTTCGTTCACAAGTGCCTTTTCCTAATTCCTTCCACCAGCACATCCGCATTTGTAATCGCTGTTGCGGTAAAAGGCCCAAAAAGACCGTGCCCTTTCGAATTCGAAATTGATAGGGTCCAAATTCAAAATTTTCACCTGCATTTTTTTAATGTCATCCCATGAATAAATGCATGCCTCCTGGATGGAGTAGCCGAAATTCGGTTTCAATATGTGCAGCTTTTAGTAGTGATGCCATCGCTAGCGGCTCTGGCATTGGAAGGCCCACTGTGAAGCGGCTACACCTTGTTACACATCTGCATTTTCCCTTTTCAGGGTCAATAGAGGGCATTTAAAAAAAATTGATCATCACGGCGTTGCATTCTTTGCTTCGGGGGTTTTTTCTTCGGTGGGGAGGTGGCGTCGCTGGCTTGCTATCTCGAGGCATAACAAGACAGCTCGTAAACGTTCTGTGCTACCACGGAGGATTGTGCTACTAACTTCTGCTTCAGGTTGTTAAACTGACAGCATGAAAACCACTTCGACAACTGCAGTGATCACTGTTTCTTTAGCTGGCATTCTTTTCAGTTATGCGATATCGGATCCAAAAGATACCATTCGTTAGTTTCACTTAACCTCTTAGTAATGAATGTGCAACAAATCGTATTATACCAAATAATAAGGCTTGACGTCGTCGGCTAGGAGAGGTGACGGGATCGCTATTTCGAAAATCTGCGCACTCACAACAGCTTGCTGCACGCATCGTGCTCATTATCCATACAGCGACTTACCCCTGGAACATCTCTTGCAAACCGATGCACATACACATGCACGAACAACGCGTACTAATGGACGTCCAAGAATATTGGCTCGTCAGTTGACACTCGCGTGTTGAGGTTAAAAAACTGGGCGCCTGAACGCTAGTTTCGCAAATAAAAATGTTCAAAATTAAAGGTTTCACCTGTGCAATAGACGTCTACGTCTATTCTTTGATTTAAGTCTTGAAACTCATTAAGACACATAGGCAAGTTCACAAGTTCATCCATTTTTTTTGTTTAATTGGCTTTTAATACCTCCTCGCATTTTTTATTGAGTCGACTTCACATTTTCACAAATACGAAGTGAGTACACCGCTTGCGATTTTTCAGCCTTACAGAGATCTCGTGATTTATTACATTATTTGCATTATTATGTATTTGCATTGATGTTGACAGTTTTTTTTCAAGGCCATCTGAACAATGAGACATATAAGGCCTTAGAGGATTCCTGAAACACTTTTCTGGGTCATAATGGAATAGTCTATTAGTACATGATGCTTCACAAATCATGTACCGCTAAAATCGTTAGGATTCGTTAAGTACGGGCAATTTCACTGGTATTTATTGCACGCTTCAAGCGCTCCCCTTTCGTGCGAGCGAGTGTGCTGAAAGCTACACAGAGTGGGGCATGACTAGGGGGAATGAACTTGAGCACACTGTTGTTTTTCTTCATACCCGTGGCTGACTTTAGTGTGATCCCGAGCGGATATATGGCGGCATCTTGCCGCAGCTGCACTATGTATGAAGCAAATCAGCCAACCGCTGTGGAAAGGGTATATGGTGAAATTAGGGTATAAGGCATGATTTGTAGAGAGAAGAGGGAGCGATGTTTAACTGGCTTTCAGAATTAGTTGTAAATTCTGAGCTGCGTGCCACGCTATAATGTTTGGCTCGCGTGTTCTCTCGAGCCTCGACTACTGACCGGCACCGTTTTCTGACCATGCTCAAGAAATGTTGCAGGGCCCCTTAAATATTTTTGATGCGTAAGATCCTGTTGCTTCACAAGAAAGTTCTGGTGACTTTACAGTGTGGCCATAATCAGTGCATGGCGTGCCTTCTGAACATTGCATGTGATCCTGTCATGCGCCTAGCCATGAAATCGATTTAGTACCATTTTCTCAAAATACAAGCGTGAAGTTTCGAACCGACGCCTCTGTTTGCCATTTGTGTGTGTGCGTGACCATGGCACCTTCTTTTTAGGCTGTACACACATATATCTCAGTATGGTAAGGCTCAAAAGAAAGTGCATATTACAGAAATGAGCTTCTACACACAGCAGGCACCGTTGTGGTGAAGGCAGCTTTGCAGATATCTCTTGTGTTTGTTTGTCTGGAATGCAAGGAAATGCTAAAGTATACAGACCGACTTAGTCAATTTTCATAATTTTTTTTTGCTCATTTCACCTAAAATTAGCTTGTTATACAAAAAAAAGTCACACATTGTGTCTAGTTTCACGTGAAAAACCAAGCACCAGTATGTCATTGTGATTTCACGGATTTCAAAGCATTTTCAGCATTGAGGCCATTGTGGCTCAGTAAGCATCAATAGAAGTTTTCAAGCCCAGTATATGGCTCCTGCAGAGGCTCTATAGATATATATTCAACGTGCTGTATAGATATAAATATATCATCTGGGCCCTTGCAGGCGATGTCGAAATTCGTGTTGCGGCAAGCTGGTGCATGAACTTCAATGCAACATAGCCGCCAGTCTTGTGTTTCTTCTGCTTGTAGAAGCCTCCTGATGTGGATAATAAATAAAATAGTGGGTACTTACATGCCAAAACCGTGATATGATTTGAGGTATGCTGTAGCAGAGGGCTTTTGCATTGGGGGAGGGGGCTCTAGCGAAGGTTTAAGTACATGAGTGTTATTGAACTTTTTCTCCTTCAAAACGTGGCCAGGATGCGAGCTTGCACCCCCGAGCTCGGTTGGCGTATACCTCAGTCACTTCACTATCGTGGCGAGGACCTCTTATAGGTAAAGGTGTGTTCTGATGTTTATAAATGGATAATTCACCTATACACTGGAAACTGATTTCCTTTTTAGCGTACATTTGACTATCCGAAGACAAAATTCCTAGGTTCCCACTAAAATTCTATTATTAACTGATCTAGCTGGCTTTGCTGCCTGCACAGTCCTGGACATTTGAAATACAAACAACTTAGGCTTAACTAAAAGTGCATCATTTCATTCTTGTTTCTGCCAGGAGGCCTAGTACCAGTATCTCGCCAGGAGGCCTAATACCAGTATTTCTGCCAGGAGGCGTATTACCAGTATACAAGCAGATATACCAGCGTATCTCCGCTTGCACGCCTAATTGGGAATCTATCTGTGCCACATTTTCAAAACACAGAATCCGTGGTTCAAGATACTGTTGCTCTTGAGTGATCAAAACCCATTTAGCTGTATAATTTTCTGTGCATGTTTAATTTGTCTGACTGTGCACTTAGAGCAAGGGAAATCACTTGGATTGATCTTTTAATGTATGTTAAGGCAGAAATCTACTTACTATGTGAAGATATAGATAACAAATCACTGCTAGGTACAATCAGCAACAAAATAATACTGACCATACCAGCTTATGCCTATATTGCCATCTCTGGCGAATGTGCAGCCGCAACTATGCGCTCGACAGCAGACGACTCGCCACTAGACAGTGCCAGTGATAATTTCAGCACGCGCACGTACGGTCTGTGTTATTTTGTGGCTGACTGTACATTCACAAGTGCACATGGAATGAACTCGTATGCAAAGACAAACTAAAAGATGCTCCTCGCTTTGAAGGGCTTTCGCCAGGGTGCATAGAAACGCCCTTTGGGATGTCACATTCTTTATTGCCTTCTTTGTCCTACTCCGCCATTCGTCAGCGCACACATTTTTGCTATTTTTGGATTTGCAAGCAGCAATACAACTGGCTCGAGTGACTCTTGGGCTGGCAAGCCTGGCAGTGGATCATCGAGACGATCGTTATTTCGAAGGAGAGCGGCCATAGAGCTTTGACTGAGAGGAAAACGTGGTGCTGCTTTCTCTCTGCGTGCGAGCAATGCAGGAACAACGAGAAGCACAACAATGGCAACGAATAGATGACGTGTTCTGGCAGCAAAACCACACCTGAATGTTGCTAAATTGTCATACCTGTCCTTCAAAAAATTACTGCCTAAAAACTGTGCATTAGCCACAAGACAGCATCAAGTCTGGCATTTTTTGCATATGAATCTGCCACAGTAATAGCCAGTACCAACAGATGTTGCACCACACCACTGTGGTCTGGCTGCGTGCAGATGCCGAGTATCTTAACCTTATGGCAGTAGCATCGACAAAACAAACGGAAGCTGGAGAAGTGAACAGAAAAGAAATTAAGACTGACATAGCCATGTAAACACATCCCATCATTCCAAACGCGGTGATCAGAGACTGCGTCACGCTTGCCTCTGTTTGAAGGAAGCTCTATGGAGTTGTGAAGGGGTTCACAAGAGAAGGGTAAGCGAACGGGTATGCACATTTATTTCTACATTTGAAGAATAACTTGCTTGTCACACTGTGGGGTACCCAGTGTGTGGAACGAGCATTGATTAGCACTTAAATATCACACCATTTAAAATGGAGTCCTGGACTCCATTGCAGACACACAGTAAATCAGCCTGAGCTTGTGTGCTCAGCACGCAGCGAGGGAGGCGGATGGCTACAGGACAGAAACACCAAGCCCACAATAGCTAACGTTTGGTGGCATTTGCAAGTTTGTCCTTAGCAGTTGTCTTCTATGCAGACCTGCAACGTGAGAGATGGAATGGTGCATTACAATAAGGACAAAAGCACCGTGTATGTGTACCAAAACTTTGCGACTTTTGCCACAATGTCCTCAGTTCTTAATTACATTTTTCATCTTTTGCATCCCAGAACCATGTCATACGTTGAGGGAAACTACGAATCAACTTTAAACATGTGGGGTTCTTTTACTCGCACCTAAGCACAAGAGGATGTTCTGCATTTTGCACCCATTGACATGCAGCCAATGTAGATCCCACGACCTTGAGCACAGCGGCATAACGCCATGGCCAGTAGCCTACCATAAACTTTCTACTGAAAGATGGACTATGAATGCTGGGAGAACAAAGATGGTGCCACGGCCAACAGTTCCTCTCTGTTGAAATGTTGGTGCAGAGCTGCATTTTCTGGCAGTGCACAAGAGAGGATGCTGTGCTCGATGCTGCAGGAAATACTGAACGGTATCTCGCTGGTAGTCTGTTCGCTGTGGCCATCCTTTCACTCGAGCGGCTTCGCAGCTGTACTCGCACTCGAAACAGTGCTGTCTCAAGCAAGCACCATTGCCTGCGTCGGATGCAGGGGATCATCACTGCACCCTGACAGGAGGGGCATCGTGGCCAACGCACTGTACTCATTTCTGATCTTCAGTTTCATCTGTGCCCCCCTCAAGAAGCTCTGTCCTTCAAGTTGTTCAGTTTATTCCTTTCCTTTTCTTCTCGAGCGTTTTTGTTGTCATACGCACACAGCGAATGCATCTCCGTGTCAAGCTTTTTACTTTTGTACCATTTTTGACTTGTTTGTATCTAGACAATGAATGGAAATGTGGTATGCTTAGCTGAAAATGGTACACTGTAAGAAGATGCCATGTAAGGTGTCCTAATGTTATTGGGTTGCATAAAATGAAACAAAAGTTAACGATGCGCTGTCATTTGCAGGGCAAGGATGTTCAACTGAATGAACTTCTCAAGAAGAGCGAGCACTATTGCCCAGTGAAAGAGTTACAAAGATTTTCTTTCGTCCTGTATTTGTGCACCTCAAAAGGCGTTGTGTCCCTACTAGGGCCGGTCAGGTTGAATTCTTGTTGTTAGGTACTAAAATAATAAAGATAAAATTTGGCCAAAGTCAAGTGTACAAGCATGACCATTCAAAAATTTGTAGGTGGAATGGAAGGTGGTTTTCTTAGAGCCTGAACTGAGCAGGTGTAACAAGGACCAGAGAGCATCGTGGATCATCAGGCTTGACAAAGCAGGAACTTTTGAAAGTGTCGTGGTCATCAAAATGACCTCTGTAGCTGGCAGTCATGACTGATAGCACAGTGCAACGGGCAAACAAAAATTCTGGTCATGCAGTCCATCATGAAAAGCGTCTACGCAACCTTGGCATTGGCCACAATGCCGCCTGCCTTGTCGCTCGGCTGCGTCTTTTTAACAACAACGACGTTAATAACGAGCTGCATCAGCATCACAGCTGCTCGACGCAGGAAGGCGCTGCAGGAGAACCTCGGTGACATACGCAAGCCCCCCACATGAACCAATGAGGGCTCAGCATTTGAGTAGTCTTCCGACTCATCATTACAGAACATGTGCTAATCTATTTTACATAATGTACTATCGGCGTCAAATGAAAGCCGAACAGCGGCAAGCCTTCGCGATATTGTTGTGCACACCATCCAGTTATCGCTATTGACATGCGCGCGCATCTTCTTCGGCAGCTCTGGGCATATATGCGTGCCTGTCCATGGCAATAAGTGGACGGCGCGCACTATAGCATCGCGTAGGCTTGCCGGTGTTCATTTGACGCTGATAGTCTCTTGCATACTGTGTACAGTTTCAATGATGTTGTGTACATTGCTGTTTAATACCAATAAACATGACCAACCTTGAATGGTATGTCTTTTGAAGCTTGTTCATAATTAAACTGGTACGCATTGCTTTACCAAACCAATGGCACCATTGAATAGCCGAAACATCGACTGGTAACTGTTGGCTGTGGCTTTTCCATTTTGAACATTTTATCATACGTCACTCCTATGTTGGTCATATTCATACAAGAATATGACACACAAATTAAGCTTTCTACCTTCAGTGCTTTGACAGCCTGCTTTATGTGTGCTGTGCATCTTGACTGTACGAGAAAATCCTTTTTTCCTGTCCTTAATGAGCATGAGTCATGGAGTTTCAGGCTTCATGTATCTCATTACCTTAAAAAATAGCAATATTGTGAAGATTTCATACATAGACTGAAGCATACATATGTTATCGTGCCCTTTCTTAACTTACTGCATTGCTCTCGGAACACGGAGCGATACACAAGTTTTTTCCGATTCCGAAGGATGTGTACTCGACGATGAGGCAACCGACGCATGCTTCAATGTCCACGCAAAGGGCAGCATTCCGTTGTTCCTCAATGGCCAACTATAAGGAAGATAAGCATCTCTCTACTATATATCATGAGTCCTTGCCATTTGTAAAGCGTTTGTGCTGTAAGGCACAGGAAGCACGAAGTAGCCGCCCGTATCAGATATCACTCAAAAGCGTGAGTGGCACCAACATAAAGCCATCTACATGGAGGAGCATGTCCGGTGGCTTTTAGCAAAACATAGGTTAAGTTGCGCAGATTTGAAGAGCTTTCTGCCCGGATGTGCTCACCCAAGGCTTTCTAGGCGTGCCTGTAGCTGATTGTCAGAAACGAATTCAGAATAATATTTAGGCTCATTATTAACATCGTGATGGCTAGTACACGTCCGCAGGAAGAAAACGCAGGACGATTAGTAAAATGGAATTAAGGCCTGCCGAACTGAGGACGGATCCGTTGGTTGTACGCAATCGCATATCATGGTGCATCGCAACGTTCTTACAAATCCCTTGGCCATATTAAGGGTAATTTGACCTTGGTGATATTCGGAACTAAAGTTATATGTCTGCCCACGTTTGGCAACATTCAGTAAGTGCATTGTCTATGGCACATTGTCTCTTAGTCTAAGACTCTAAGTGTAGCTTTGAAGACAGGTTTCCTGAGAGACTGAAGGTTGCTTATTAACAGCAGTAAATAGTGAAAGAGCGCAGAAGTATCAACACGGCTGTGGTGTTTGCCACGACAGTGGGGCGAGTGTCTCTGGGCATTTTATTTGCCCCTTAGGGGACTCTGTGTCATCACCGAGGTTGCCCTGCAGCGTCTTCTATAGTACACGATGAGCTACGACTAAGCGGGTTGCTTGCTTTCAGTATGCAGTCTCGTCTGGCCTACATGTCCCCGAAAACGCCGGCGAAAGTCTTGCGCAGGTTCCTCATGGTGTCGTCCGGGTCCTCGCCCTTCTCACTCGTTTGGCTCGCTCGCCGTGGCCGCGGGTTGGCAGCCGCACGCGGTTCCCTGCGATCATCGACATTGTCAGCCCCGATAGGAGTGTGCATTGACGCGAGCGGGCATTAAAACTCTCACTTGAGAAGTTTCAACGCTCGCTGCCTGTTACTTTGTAAGAAAACTGGTCAACCATGCACATAGAGGACCAAAATTATTGTCCTACACTCCTCTCACTCAGCATCACAGTTTGCGCGAGGTGGTAGTTAGTCAAGAAAACTTCAACAGTGTGTGAATGACCGTGAATGCGTGGAAAGAGAGCTGACATGGACAAGTGTTGTCATTCAACTGATATTAATTTAAAAAAAGACACACATAAGTAGAGAAATATTGTGCAGTGCAAAAAACGTGACTTTTACTGCACATGATTGCTTACAAGTGACAAAATTTTAAACAGAGGTAATAAATAAAAATAAATTCCACTCAACTTTATCTTGAAAGAGCACGGGCATGTGGAACATAAGCAACTTCTTCTTTAAGTCAATTGAAAGCATGCTGATGCATCCCCCATATGTGCAATGTAGCTAGGTAGTCACCTCTACAATTTCTCTAAGGAGCAAATTTTTGTTTTCGTAGATTACTTCTCTTTGATTGTAGACAGGCTGGCAAGCACACCCCTTACTCCAGTATTGGTTTCCTGCATCTAGTTTTGTTCTACGGTCAACGTTTGTGGAATGGCAAGAAGACATATTTATTCCAAAACGATGTGTTTGTATCTGCTCCTGTGTCGCCCCGGCCATCAGTGGCTTTATTCTGGCAGCTATCAGTAATGGAAGTGCTGCTCCAATTGCTCCAAACTGCTCCAAAAGAGAAATGCTACTCTATGCTGCTCCAAAGTGCAATATTTGCTAGTAACTGCTCCAAACCTGCTCCGAAATTGTGTTGGCAAACTAAAAAGAATGAAGTTGAACAATGGGACCATCCAGTGAGCCTAAGCGAAACCATAAGCAAACTGTTACACACTGTCATCCTAGCATGCAACTCAGTGGCGCAAATCCAGAAAAATCTCAAGGGGTGACACATATCAGGCCATGGTGTCCAATTTGTATCTTTATTATGGTATGTATTTTTACTTATGTAAGATTTACATCGTGCTTTCAAATAAAGTTTAAAAATTGAGCATGGGGTCCGAGCTCGAGCAATCGCATTGTTCTATTCAGTCTCTTTTTTTCACGTTTTTTTTTTCAATTTCAATAATTCACACAGCTAAGGGACATTTAAAACGGGTACGCAGTAAAATATAGAAAGTCTTTTAAAAAGTTGATTGTGCTCTACTTAACTGTTAACTAAATTTCACAATTATTTCACATGCTAAAGCTAAATCTCAAGGCGGACACTTGCAAGGGCTGTCCTCCAGAGCCTGAACACTAGAAAAGTCTGTACTCCCTTGTCCCTCCTCCCCCTCCCCCATGATTTACGTCAATGATGGTAATATACCACTTGTATACTAGCTGCATACTAGCATACGGCATGTTTAATAATAAATATACATATTTATTAGATGCTTAAGTGATGTTTTGGACTTTGGAAGTCGTTAGGAACATGCATCTGCTTCCAAAACACCAGTAGGAATTCTAAGCTATAGCATTTTTTTCTGCTCCGAAGACACTTGAGCCTGCTCCAAATCCCCATTCTTTCTGCTCCAAAATCTGCTTCAAAAAGCAAAATGTCGCTTTTATCACTGAGCTATTGACCGTAGATTGCCACGCCTTTGGGAAGGCACAAATGTGCTTTGGGTGTTCCAATGTGTAGATGATTTTCTAATTGTTTTTGATCGTTCAGTCCAACCTTTTCACTCAGTAGTGTTGTCCACATTTGAAGTTTTCCCGATCATCCCTTAGACCACTGGTGCTCACTCCGAGGTTTCGGAGGCTGACAGCTTTAGGTTTCTTTATGTTTGACTGTATTTCACGGCCGATAATGTATGTTGGAAATATGAGCCCAGAGCTAAGAAACCTCTATTATCGTTCTCTTCAGCCCACTTTAAGATGGTGGAGTACGGCATTGTGAAACTCAGCCACTGCAATTCTCTCAAGGTGCCCTCCTTTTACTAGTGTGAGAACAGCTTTGCAGGTCAGGGGTCTACATTGAGAAGGCTGGTTATTCACAGTACATCCTTGTTTCTATTACTGGTCTACTTCTCAGAGAGACCAAATGTCTTCACCGTTATGATCGTCTTAACAAGGGTGAAAAGACAGCTAGGGTGGCAGTGGTTCCTTACTTACACCAAGTTTTGTACCGCCTTAAGGAAGCGTCATCAGCTGCACGAGTGTCACTGCTGCACGAGTCACGAGTGTCACTGCTGCACGAGTCACTGCTGCACGAGTGACTAGCATGCGAAAGCGGATTCGTTGTTGGGAAGCGGGTTATGTTTGAGAAGATAGGGCAGGACGTCGGTGTGAAAATTGTCTTTTCCGCGCCACAGAAACTAAAGAAACTGCAAACTAACGTCCTCTGCCAACAAAAGAAAAGACGGCAACCTGATTAAGTACAGGGGCACGTATGGCGTATGTCATCCCGGTGTCATGTGGGAAGAAATATGTTGAGCAGGTGTCAAGATGCCCCAATGTACGCTTTTGTGAACACCAATGGAATGTGCACAACGGCAACTCTAGGCATATGAGTGCGCATCGTAAGGGGTGTGGTTGCCTGCTGGCCTACAATAATACAGAAGTAATCTATAAAAACAAAAATGTGCTCACTAAACAAATTGCAGAGGTAGCCCGCATTGCACACATTTGGGAGAGGCATTGACTGGCCTTCCATTGACTTACACAAAAGACATATTGCCGATCTTTCGCATGCACATACTCGCACAAGATAAAGTTGTACGGAGTTTATATATATTTTGTTTAATTTCATCACTTTTAAGCGATCATGCACTGTAATAGTCATATTTTGTTTTGCGCTGTGCAATTTTTCATTACTTATGTGTGTCTTTTCTGAGTAAAAAATTAGTTTAAAGTCAGTGCTTGTCCGTGTCGGCTCTCTTTCTGTGTATTTGAGTTTATTCCCGCATTGTTGAAAATTTTCTCGCTCAACGCTTTGCTCTGCCTTTTCAATGGCCTGTACCAGCCTTTCTGCAGCAAGGGAAAGCCTTTCCGCTGGAAATACAGCGTCGCTCAGTATTATTACCTCTGCGTTGAGGCTATCATGGAACACGTGCACAGAGGAAAAACAAGGCAGTAATATCATGTGTGTTTTTACTATTTTTTATTTTTAAACTGGTTTTGCTGTCCTTGGGGCACACTTTGTGGGGGTGTTATCACTCTCTGTACAGTCACTTTCACCTCTTAGTGAAAGATTAGTCGTGGTTGGCTGAAATGTTTTTTAGGGACATGTGGCACCGTGCTCCCGAAACTCTAGCAGTAATTAGGATTTATAGGCAGTTACAACCTAAGAATAAATGCATTCTCCGCTCAAAGCACTGTAGCACGCCTGTCATTCAGCTGTGCAACAGAGCAATGATTGGCGATTTCTGTTCAAACTTCAATCACATTTTTGCCGGTGGTGCAAATTCTATGCATATTATAAAAGTTCTTCGCTCTTTGTTACAATATTACATTTCGCAGAGCAGTGAATCCGGAGTTTTCAACGAAATTCGCCAAGAAGTAAAATCTTTCGTTCGATAACTAGCAAAATGAACACAAGCCTGTACGAGAAAGTGGTATGCCTGAAATATGCGAAATCTGCTTGAGGTTACGTAAATTACCGTCTGTAAATTGGCAAGACATTTATGCAAATTCTGAGTGGGTGGGACGGTGACCGCTGTGGGCGGAGCTTACATGTATGGATTAATTGATGGATGCTATGAGCATTCCCTTTAAAACTTGGCGGTGACATGTGTGCCATCACGCTTGCAAAAAAAAGTGAAACTTTCTTTTTATGTTGTCCTAATGCCTTATTTATTGAGATCAAATCTATCTTATTATCACGAAGAAAAATATAACTTTATATTCCATCTCTTTGACTCTTCTAACAGAATGACATCATTTTTCTACTATTTCTGTCCTTTATCTCTACTTATCTGCCACCAATGCTCTAACCGTCTCTTACTTGCCTCTATCACGGACGTTTTCAGCTTTCCATGTTTGTCCCTAAAAACCAAAGCCTGATGTAGGCTTGTACCCACACGTATATCTGAGTGGATATCGCCGCATGCAATCAGAACATGTTCCATCCTTTCCTTAGCTACCCCACAGCATGGGCTTCTTCTTTATTGAATCTCGCTTCGAATAGTAAAACGCTTCCCCTTGTTCTTTTTCTCCACTTTGTGTCAATGCTCTTCCTATACCTGAACACTTTCCCTACCCATCTACTCTCCTTCATTTTCCTAAGCCTCTTTATAATCTCATTTTGCTCTGAGCTTCCTTGACTTCAAAACTTCTCCATCCCATATCCCCCTTTACAGCCTCATTCGTCATTTTTCTGTCAGCGCCCAACGCGAGGTGTCCCAAAGTCCTTTGATTTTGCGTCCATTTCTGATTGCACCTCTGACTTCATGCACATCACTGAGTTCTCATATGTAAGCCCTGAAACCATTACGCTTTTACACAGACCTTGAAGTAGCTATTGTATCCCTATAACGCTCTGTGCTTCATTATTGCGGCATTGCTGTTTCCCTTTGCTGCCGATGTTTATTCATGTATTTTATAAATCTATCTCCCTCATTTACCCATACCCCGAGGTACTTGTACTCACTTATCCTTGGTATTTCTTGGCACTGTATTAAGAATGCCTGGTTTTCGTTATCATTGAATGCCATCAATCCACATTTTGTTGCACTAAATCATTGTCCTAGAGTCTCGCTTTGCCTTCCACATATATCTGCCAGCCACTGTATATCGTCTTGACTGTCTGCAAATAGGACAATATCATCTGAATAAAATAGACCTAGAAGCTACTGCTCAACCATCGCGCTAGCCTGTTTGTGTAACAGATTAAACCCTATGTTTCTCCCTTCTAGCGCTTTTTCCATCCTCACAATGTACAGCATGAATAACAGCGGGAACAAGGGATCTCTCTCTCAGCCCCTTGTTAATTTCAACAATGTCATTGTTACTTATTCCTTCCCATTCTACACGAACTGTATTTTCTTAGTATATTTTTCTCAGAAGCTCTTTACCATCGTCACCTATGCCAACTTACTTCAATATGTCCCACAAAATTACCTAATTAACGTTGTCATATGCCCTAGGGATGTCCAGCTAAGGTACGTATAAGGGCCTGTTTTTTATTTTATATATTTCTATATACTAAGAACAAACAAGTTATCGTCTAACCGCCTGTGGATTCGGAATCCATTCTGAAGTTCTCCCCAAATGTCATTTTGCTCTGTTCACGTTTCTGTTTTTAATTTTACTGCCTTCATTGCCTACCTGTATAGCACAGATGTAACAGTTTGTGGTCTGTGCGAACGAATGTTAGCTTTTTCTTCCTTGCCTTTATAGATTAACTTCATTCTACTTTTTCGCCTAGTGTCTGGCATTTCCTTTTCCTGTAATCACTTTTCTATGGATTTCATGAGTGGTTCTTTAGTGCTATGTCCTAGTTCATTAATGAGGCAGACGGGAACCCCATCGAGCCCGGAGTAATGTGCTTAGAAGTTTTTCCTTTGGCCTTCTTTCAATTGAAATGATCAAGTTCTTAGGCCAGCAGCGCCACCTGGCGGGAGCGTGCTTACGCGGCCATTTGAGAGAAGAGCGTTTACTCGTTTTGTGGTCAGCGACGAACGACGCTCTGGGAGGTCCGTGGGTACGGTTTCACGGCTCGGGCTCCCGTGATAAGTCAGACGTTGGCGATGCCGCATTTGAGTTTCTTTGTATGGATTAAGTTCCCTGTGTATTGCATTGTCATTTTATTAGCTTATTTTTAATACAAACCCCACAACATCCAGCACATGGTAGTAAGGGTAATTAGTTATAGAGGAACTGGGTGGGACACTAGCCCATGCACTCAGACATTAACATTTGTAAAGCGCTCGTTCTGTGTTCTTACTCTCCCCAGGTTTCGTTTCATTGTCATAGCAGTCGTATGAACACTCTCGGTGGTTTCTTGCGGTCAATTTTCCTGTAAAGTCCAGATTGATAACTCTGCCCCGTGCATCTAAGTTCTGCCTGCGAGTAAGAACACGTGAGAACGCGACAGAAGCAGAGATGGGACAAGGTGGCCACCACCGTCGTCTGGAGGCCGTGCATGCGACGTCACCTTGTTTGCAAGACCTGCCGAGGATTGCTTCTTAAACAGAGAGGAACGCCACATCCGTCTTTTGTAATGGTCCACTCAGACGGCGGACCAAGTCCGGATATGTCGTGGACGCGTATGACTGGTGTGGGGGAAATCCGCCTGCGCATGATGGGATTGATTGATATGTGGGGTTTAACGTCCCAAAAACCACCATATGATTATGAGAGACGCCGTAGTGGAGGGCTCCGGAAATTTCGACCACCTGGGGTTCCTTAACGTGCACCCAAATCTGAGCACACGGACCTACAACATTTCCACCTCCATCGGAAATGCCGCCACTGCAGCCGGGATTCGATCCCGCAACCTGCGGGTCAGCAGCCGAGTACCTTAGCCACTAGACCACCGTGGCGGGGCAAGCGCATGATGGGACACCGTGGGAGGGGATGGGTGTGCGTTGCTCGAGCAGCAACTGTGAACTTCGTGGGTGCTATCTCGACAGACCTTAGAAGACAGCTGTTAAACTTTCTGCACTCTCACCATGTCACGAATGAGTGCACGGCAAGCCTCTTCTCTTGCCAACTCTACGCGGGGAAGAGCTGTGGGACGATGCCCTCCGTGATAGACTTCCTGAGGTCCCCCCGATCCTTAATATGAAGGACTCGACACATCGCCGAAATCAACCTACGGATGCCAGACTAGGTGGTCCCCGCCCCATGCACCTTGTTCAATTGCAATATTACAAATAAAGATGTGTTACTCTCTCTCTCACACAACTTATTTCGCATTGAGGGACTGCACAAAAAATCACAGCATACCCACAGAGTGAATGGTAATGAGTTGGGCGAAGCGTCCGTTCGTCCGTCTGTCTGTGGATATGCTGTGCTGGCAACACCGGAGGGATGGACTGCACTTGACCATAAGGAGCTTCAGTCCTAAAACCGCTTCTCTCCCTATATTTAAACGTTTATTGAAAAAAAAAAGTACAGGGAGCGGGTGCATCACTGGCTTGAGCGGCACATTGAAACTGGTCGAGGAGCACTAGTTACACCGCGAGATCCTCGCTGGGGGGTAAAGTCTCTCACTGCGCTCTTTCGGAATTTTGTTGTTAATTTTGGTTGGCCTGTTCTGGCAATCTCACGTAATGTGGGCGAGAGTGAAACTGCCTCCTTACCATGGAGGCTTATCGTTGTACATTGAGGGGAAATGGTATACGTTTAAAATAAGGTTTTGGATATGTGTGTATACGGCGCCATCCATGAGAGTACTGTCTGGATAGATCAAGGTGTGAAGGACTCTACTTTTGGCGCTCGAGAAGTTGGTGCCCAAAAATATCTTGCGCTAAGGTGTTTCGACCGAGTGTTTGACGGCTCGGTTGATGAAAGCACGAGCTGCACCGTCCGCTCTCTCATTGCTATAGAGTCCTGCGTGACTCGGGCACCGCATGATCGCATGCTTCTGCATTCCATTGATCGACTGGGTACTAATAAGTGAATAGTGTTGTGTAGTAGTCCTCGCGGTGTCAAAGTCTACAGGCGACCTTGAAATCTGTATGACAGTTTGTTGTTAACGAATCGCTTTGCCCTTGCGACCAAACTTGTGTTCGTCGCGCTATCCTCCGATTACGAAATGTTGACGTCGTTTGTCATGGTCTTTTTCAAGTGGCATCCTGGAAATTATACTAAGAAATGTATCGTTAATAAAATAACGTTTATCTCACTGAGTCACTGGTGGTTTCATAACACGCACGGTGGCATGCAACGTAAAGGTCACAGCTCCATAGTGTACTCATTCGCCACATGACGGCCGTAGAGGCAGCATAATAACATTGTGTTTCAACCGCTTCCATGTCATAATGACGTGGACAGAACTTCATTGGCCTCTGTCTGCGAATGACGAAAGGACTTGCAAGTGATATAACAACACGAATGCGTGACGTCACAAAACTTCATGCGTGCGCCACGCAGTTCACCAACATGGCGGTAACAGTGACGTCAGCGCAAATAAACTATAAATGAAATTTCATATAAAGGTGCGATTCTCCTAGGTTATTTGTTACCCTACACGCAGTTATCGCGAATGGTTGTCGCGAGACAAGTACTCACTGTGTGGCGGTGGCTGGCGGGGTCGCACTGGCCACGGTGGGTGCTACAGCCGCGGGTGGTGCGACGGGCGGAGCGCCCACCTGCTGGGGCGGCCGGCAGTACTGCTGCATCCGCTGGAGCACCAGGTCAGCGATGAAGCGCCTGTCTTCCTCCTGGCTCTCGCCCAAAAGCTGCATAGCTGAGTCGTTGGCCTGCACGCACGTGCCAGTCCCATCAGCAATACGCAGGCCATGATGTTATTGGACCAAACATGGCAGCAAAGAGGGTTACGCTTTCGTTTCGACGTAATGTTATCTATGGATACGTAGTAACTACAAGCCAGAAAGAACCCAATTATTTTCTTGTTCCAGTGTAAAAATTCTGTCTGACATAATGCAAAACACTAAACGCTAGCAGGAATTACTCATATAAAGAACACTTTTACAGCCCCGCCGCAGTGGTCTAGTGGCTAAGGTACTCGGCTGCTGACCCTCAGGGCGCGGGTTCGAATCCCGGCATCGGCGGCTGCATTTCCGATGGAGGCGGAAATGTTGTAGGCCCGTGTGCTCAGATTTGGGTGCACGTTAAAGAATCCCAGGTGGTCGAAATTTCCGGAGCCCTCCACTATGGCGTCTCCCATAATCATATAGCGGTTTTGGGACGTTAAACCCCATATATCAATCAATCAAGAAAACTTTGACACTTTATCCTTGCCTCATTTCTCGAGTTTATGGTTTGGTGCGCGTTGCGTCCTTGAAGGCATGTAATCAGTATGGTTGAAAATGTTTTGCCATATCATACCCATAAATGCAATAATGAGCATTACTGAACAGTGCTGTCTGACTTTTTCTGACAAATATGAACATATTGGTCGTGAAAAGCGTCTCGATGACGCTGATATTCAGGGAGAACAGTTGCAGGATTCAAAAGTGCATTGAGGGCCAACTAGTGAAATGCTTAAAGTACACGTGCCTCGGTGATGAACTCCCTGCCGTCCTTGGCCTGTATGGCCTCGACGGCGCAGATGTCGAGGCCTCCGAACAGTTCGGACACTGTGTCCACCCAGAGACGGTGCCGGTCGGCGAGGGGCACCTGTTCGAGCATGGCCGAGCCCACGTTCGCCTTCCAGTGGCCGCTGATGCTCTTGCGCACGAAGCACTTGTATGCAGAGCCGATCTTCTGGATGTGAAGGTCGCATTTGGCCTCGACGAACGGCTCGACGACGCAGTAGCCGCCAGCGAGCGCCACTAGTCCCGCCACGTCCTGCAACTCCTGCTGGCTCTGCACGCGCACCTTGCCCATTCCGCCATGTGCGTGGCCCACCTTGACCACGCAGGGAAACTTGGAGGCGGCCAGCTGCGCAAGGGCAGAAGTGGTGTCACCTGATTAGCAGCACCGTTTGTTCTTGACATGCAATGTACTTGCTGAGTAAACCTTGCGGAAATTATCTTTCGATTTGTGGTCACAAGAACGTTGGGTTTATTTTGTGGTCCCCAAAATGGGCCTAGGACAGGCCCGTAGACAGGCATTTTTTACCAGGGTGGGGGGGGGGAGGTAGGGAAGTTGCTGCAGACCTTTGCTATTTCGGAAAAACACCTACTTTTTTAATATTTTCGGCAAATCATACGGCCCCTACATCAAAATTCGGGGGAAGGGGGTGGCTATTAGGGGGAAGAGCAGTACTTGCTGCAACTGAAGGACTACTAGCATCCCGATTCGTGTTGCATAGGTTTTCGTTCCTTAGTTGTCATGCCAAAGTCGGCCGCTTGCTGACAGTCAGACGTTATGCTCAAGCGGATGCTAACCATATCGGCGTGGTTCGGGAAGAAGCTCTGCTCCATCAGGGGGAATTGTTCCCGGCCTAGACGGCGCTGGGCGCTCTGTAGCTGGGCGAACACCCACGGTTTGTCCTGGAAGTTGTACAGGCTGTGTAGAGAGTTGACAGCCGGCACGCCTCCGAGCCGCAGGCCTAGAAGGAAGGGCCGGTCGTCACGGCTGCCATCGCGCACATGCTGCCGCACAAGCACCATGTCGGGCCGGAAAGAGCGAACCACCTGCAGAAGGACACGCCACTTTTCTCTTGGGATGTGCAAACGTATATGTTTAATCTTTTGGAGCTAATTTGTGCGGTGTAATGAAAAGCTCCTTGCACTTCAATCAATCAATCAATCAGTTTATTATCATGTCATAAAATGATGTTACAGGGAGTAAAATATACAGACGAGGGTCCCAAAGTACACGACTGCAACGGGACCCTCGGTGATGATTACAAATAATAAAAGCACAAGCAGCTGTTAGAATCGTAGAAACAAAAATATACAAATCAGAATGAAAACAAAAAGGCATGGAATCAAAAAACAAATAATACAGCATAACACAACACAAAGAAGATAGATCAACTATTTAACAGGTACTCTTTCAATGAGTTTTCAAATAAAATTAAAGAAACTTTGCATTTTAGCGAAGTGGGCAAATTATTCCATATGGTGATGGTACAGAAGAAAGAAGATGATTTACCATAGTTAGTACGAACCTTAGAAAGTAAAAAGTTATTATTAGCCGCAAACCTAGTTATGTTAGTATTATAAAGGAGATTTATTAAGCAGGAAGGTTGATGCTTGGAAGGCGATGCACCAGCCGCAATTTCCGAGCTCGAGCCGCTGCTGCACACTCGATGCTGCTGCCTCTGCGCCGGAGTACTTCCTCTTCTTTACAATGGCCCCACGGAGAAAAAAGGAGCCATCCTGGCGACTTAGTCCTGGGCAGGCGGCGTTGAACCGTGGTATTGCTTGAGCCTCTGGACGTGTACAACTTCGCGGTTGCGACGTCGCAAGTCTGATGGTGGCGTAAGAGGCTCAATGAGGTAGTTTACTGGCGAAGTTTGTTCGACAATACGATATGGCCCATCGTACTTTGGCAGAAGTTTGGAAGAGAGCCCAGGTGTGCGATGCGGCACTGACAGCCATACAAGAGAACCCGGAAGAAAAATGGGAGTTGAGGTCTGGGCATCATGAATTGCTTTTTGCCTGTTTTGGTCATCGCAGGTAAATCGACGAGCTAACTGGCGGCATTCTTCTGCGTGTCTGGCGGCGTCCAAGATCGGTAGGCACTCGGACGCGTCTGGTCGATAGGGCAAAATGGTGTCAATGGTGTGGGAGGGGTGACGGCCGTAAAGAAGGTAGAAAGGGGAAAAGCCTGTTGTCGCTTGCGTTGCCGTATTATAGGCGTATGTAATGAATGGGAGAACTAAGTCCCAGTTAGAGTGGTCAGGCGTCACATACATAGATAGCATGTCACCAAGAGTACGATTAAACCGCTCGGTAGCCCCATTGGTTTGTGGGTGGTAAGCGGTACATGTGCGATGTACAATAGCACACTCAGCAAGCAATTTTTCAATGACCTCGGACAAGAAGGCACGGCCGCGGTCACTGAGGAGTTCTTGAGGGCCTCCATGACGCAACACAAAATGACGCAGTAGGAAAGTGGCAACCTCCTGTGCTGTAGCCGTTTTAAGAGCAGCGGCCTCAGCATAGCGCGTTAGGTGGTCGATAGCAACTATTATCCACCTGTTGCCAGTCGGAGTCAATGGAAGTGGCCCATAAATATTTATTCCAACCCGTTCGAAGGGTCGAGAAGGGCATGGTAAAGGCTGCAGTTCACCGGCGGAGGCGTGTGGTGGAGATTTTCGGCGCTGACATTCGGCACAAGAGCGGACGAAGTTGCGGACGAAGGCATACATGCCACGCCAGTAGTAGCGATGTCGAAGCCTTTCGTAGGTCTTGAAGACTCCTGCGTGGCCACATTGTGGGTCAGCGTGAAAAGAGGAACAAATCTGCGACCTCAGGGTTCGTGGAACGACGAGCAGCCACTTGCGTCCCTCTGGTGCGTAGTTACGTCGATAGAGAAGCGTGTCACGTATCGAGAAGTGTGGAACTTGGCGCCGAAGCGTTCGCGTCTTTGGGAGTTCAGAAGTGTCGGAGAGATGATTGAGGAGAGACGCAGTCCATGGGTCATTGCGTTGTTCGATAGCAATGGTGTCAAAGTCAAGCGCTGACAATGTGGAATCGCAAGCAGAGTCAGCTGTGGCATTCTGGGACAGGGGGGAACGGGAAAGGGCGTCGGCGTCAGCATGCTTCCGTCCTGACCGATAAACCACGCGTATACCGTAATCTTGAATTTTCAACGCCCAGCGAGCGAGGCGGCCAGGTGGGTCTTTTAACGTCGAAAGCCAGCACAGCGCGTGGTGGTCGGTCACGACGTCAAAAGAACGACCATATAGATATGGGCGAAACTTTCCAAGGGCCCACACAATGGCCAAGCACTCCTTTTCTGTGACGCTGTAGTTGCTCTCAGCCTTGGTAAGTGTGCGACTAGCGTATGCCACGACGTATTCCTGATGTTCCGGTTTACGCTGTGCGAGCACAGCACCCAGGCCTACACCACTGGCGTCGGTGTGGATTTCAGTTGGAGCTTCAGGATCGAAATGGCGTAGAATGGGTGGCGCCGTAAGAAGCCGTCGCAGGGTGGTGAAAGCCTCGTCGCAGGCAGGGGACCACGATAAGAGGTCTTTACAGCTGCTGAGGAGTTGCGTGAGAGGTGATATAATAGACGCGAAGTTTCGGACAAATCGCCGGAAATACGAACACAAGCCGATGAAACTTCGAAGTTATTTGATGGTGGCAGGTTTAGGAAACGCCGTAACAGCTCGCAATTTCTCGGGATCCGGAAGGATGCCTTCCTTGGAAACAACGTGGCCCAAAATGTTCAGTTGACGCATGGCAAATCGACATTTTTTGAGGTTTAATTGCAAACCGGCATTAGTTAAGCAAGTAAGGACGTGCTGAAGGCGACGTAAGTGTGTGTCAATGTTAGGGGCGAAGACCACAATATCATCGAGGTAACACAAGCATATCTTCCATTTCAGTCCACGCAGGATGTTGTCCATCATTCGTTCAAACGTTGCAGGTGCATTGCAAAGTCCGAAGGGCATGACGGTGAATTCATATAAGCCGTCTGGCGTGACAAAAGCGGTTTTGGGGCGATCGGCCTCCGCCATAGGCACCTGCCAGTAGCCTGACCGCAAGTCTAACGAGGAAAAGAACTCGGCACCCTGCAAACTGTCCAAAGCATCGTCAATGCGCGGTAGTGGATAGACATCCTTCAGCGTGATCTTGTTCAATCGCCGGAAATCGACACAGAAACGAATAGAGCCGTCTTTCTTTTTGACGAGAACCACCGGAGACGCCCATGGGCTCTGTGAAGGTCGAATGACGCCTTTGCGAAGCATGTCGTCTACTTGGTCAGCAATGACGCGGCGTTCTGTAGCGGACACGCGATATGGTCGTTGTCGCAGCGGTGAGTGGGACCCAGTGTCGATGTGGTGTTCTACTGCTAAGGCACGGCCGAGAGATGTTTGTTCAACGTCGAAAGAGTTGCGGTAGCTCTCAAGAATGGTGAGGAGTTGTGAACGCTGCGAAGATGTCAAATCTGCAGCGATGAATGGTTGAAATATGTTTGCCGACGTTGAGTTAAGCGCTGAGACGACAGCCAGTTCACAGACGGAGGTAGAAGGCACCTCATCGGGGACGGATATAATTTTGGAAGAACTGATTGTCTCGACGTGGCCAAGGCACTCGTGACAAAGTAGGGATAAAGACGACGACTCATTATTATAAATTGGCATTGTGGTTGACCCTTCTACAAGATCGAGAGCAGCAAAAGGCAGGGGGAGGGCTCTTCGGGCGACGAATATTGGAGATGGTGTGAAGAAGACCGTGCCGTCGGATATGGCGCTGCATGAAACTGGCACGAACGCAAAAGAGCATGGAGGGATGTAGGTGTCATCGCTAACGACAAGTTTAGCGGCAAACTGGGTGTCGACGGACGCTTGGTCATCCAGTGAGCAAAATTCGACCTCAGCCCTAGCACAGTCGATTACGGCGTTATGACGTGACAAAAAGTCCCATCCCAAAATAATATTATGGGAGCATGATGAAAGAACCACGAACTCTATCGTATACAGAACGTCCTGAATTGTCACGCGGGCTGTACATACTGCGGTCGGTTGAACAGGTTGAGCACTGGCTGTGCGAAGCGATAATCCGGAGAAAGGCGTCGTAACCTTACGAATTGAGCGGCAAAATCCAGCATCTATAACCGAAACAGCTGCACCGGTATCTACAAGAGCGACAGTAGGGATATTTTCGACGAACACATCAATAACATTGGTAGGTGACAAATGAGGACTTAGGCAAACCGAAACTTGCGCAGTTCTTGCCTCAGGAACTGCGTCGTCTAGTTTTCCTCCTCGTTAGGTGCGGGCCGTCGACGCATAGGAGAAGGCGAGCGGTGGCGTGGAGAGGGCGAGCGCAGACGTCCCGGCCGAGGGCGGTGGTCGTCCTGGTAGCGGGCTGGCATTGGAGTGGAGGAACCGTATCGCGCGTTGGAGTCAAGCGGGAAGAAAGGCTCACGGCAGTTTTCATTGGTGATATGCGTCCGGCGGCGGCAATACCTTGCGACGTGTCCGGGGTATCGACAAGCGTAACATATCGGGCGATTATCGAGGGTGCGCCACGGGTTGGCGGTGTTAGTGCTGGTCCAGTGAACTGGAGCTGGGGGATAGCTCGCGCGAGGCTGGAACGGAGGCGCAGGCGCCTTGCGAGTTGGCATGGCTGCAGCCGCGGCGTAGGTGAGAGGAGCAGCCACAAGATTAGGCTCGCGAGCAGCTGGTAAGGCCTCGGCGACCTCTCCTTGAATGACGTCACGTAGAGACGATGGTAAAATTGTGGTAGCTTCTGGTGTGAAAGGCACCAAGGAAAGCTGTCGTGCAACTTCTTCGCGGACAAATGCTTTTATTTCGGCTATTAGTGACGCGTGGTCATGACCACTGATCACATTAGACAGCGATGCCAAATCGTGCGCTGGAGGACGTCTTGTCAGAGCTCGCTGCTTCCGCAATTCATCGTAGCTTTGGCAGAGGCTAATTACGTCGTTAACAGTGGTCGGGCTTTTCGCCAAGAGCATTTGAAAAGCGTCGTCGTCAATCCCTTTGAGGATGTGCTTACATTTTTCAGCTTCCGTCATTTCGGCGTTCACGCGTCTGCACAAATCGACGACGTCCTCTATGTAACTTGTGAAGGTTTCACCCGTTTCTTGTGCGCGTGTGCGTAAACGTTGCTCGGCACGAAGTTTTCGGACGGCAGGTCGATCGAAGACTGCTACAATCGACGTTTTAAATTGCGGCCACGTTCGGACGTCTGCCTGGTGGTTTCTAAGCCAAAGGCTGGCTACACCCGCGAGATAGAACGAAACGCGTGTCAACTTGTCCGCGTCCGTCCATCTGTTTAAAGCGCTCACCCGTTCGAAAGTCGAGAGCCACTCTTCAACGTCGTTGTCATCTGTTCCACTGAAGATTGGAGGCTCCCGCTGAAGAACACTGCCTGGACAGGTGGCCGGAAGAGATGGAAGCGTCTGCTGATCGGCGTCCGGCATAGCAGAAGGTAGCCGTCGAGAACGAAGTTCCAGGATGGTAGCGGGAAGGTGTAAAGGACGGTACCCGGCACGGCTCCACCAATTATAAAGGAGATTTATTAAGCAGGAAGGTTGATGCTTGGAAGGCTTGGAAGGCGATGCACCAGCCGCAATTTCCGAGCTCGAGCCGCTGCTGCACACTCGATGCTGCTGCCTCTGCGCCGGAGTACTTCCTCTTCTTTACAGTATTAACTAACATATTAGGATCAATAAAATTAGCAGAAAGTTGATTTCTTATTTGTTTATGCAGAAATATAATTAGATTAAACCTGAATAGAAGTTAACAGTTAAGATTGTATTGCATTGAAGAAGGGGAGCGGCGCTTATGTCGCGAGAACAGTTAAAAATAGCGCGAATAGCTCGATTTTGTAGATGTTGTACGGATGAAAGATGACACTGGTAAGTATTCCCCCATGATGCGATGCCTTAAGTGATATGAGAATGAATGACTGCGAAGTAAAGTGAAAGGAGTGCTTTATGAGAAAAATATGAGCGAGCTTTGAGTAATGCGCGAATGCCGAATGCTGTTGTTTTTCTAATGTGAGCAATATGTAGAGCGAAGTTAAGGTTAGCGTCGAGGTGAACGCCAAAAAAAGATACACTGTCGCTGATATTAACCAAATGAGTGTCAACTGTGAGTTGTGGTGAGGAAGTTAACTTGCGTTGAGCTGATCTAAAACCATAAACTTAGGTTTATTTGGATTAATAATTCATTGCATGTCTTGACAGCACCCTGTATAACCACGTTTCCATGTAATTAAGACGAGAAAAGAGCAGAATGGATATGATATATGAAATCAAGGCTAAGAAATGGCTAAGACATGTTGCCGGGCTAGTTGGTTGGGGTTTATCATTTATAAGGGTATAGCGCACCACGACAAGGACACAAAAAAGAGAGATGCACACACACACCGCTATGTGTGTGTGCGTCCCTCTCTTTTTGTGTCCTTGTCGTGCGCTACACCCTTATAAATACTAAGAAATTGACATGGGACGGATACGTAGCACGTAGGCACGATAATTACTGGTCATTAAAGGTAACTGATGGGATTCTAAGAGAAGAATGAGTTAAACTTTTGAGCAGGGCGATTGTTTTTTTGCTTCCCCCATGTGTTCTTTTTCAACACCTACTACACGCCTTCCTGCACACAGCCCTGCTAAGGGCTACAAATTGGACCCCGGTCCTCAAACACCGGCCCGACCAGGACACAATGCTCCAGCAATAGATGCAAAAGAATGCATCTTCCGGCATTGGGAAGCCAAGGACACCAAATCACAAGGCCTCGAAGGTGACAAAGTCGTGTAAACAAGCTGAGCAAGAGTCGCTGGCTAGCGCTGACCAGCAAAACTCGCCCGTATAGGCGCGCAAGGGAAGGATAGTGTACCGAGCACCCCTTCTCGGACGACAGCATAAGGTCGGAAGCTTCGCTCGCCTCCAGTTCTTCCTAGGATCACTATACGCTGTCCTCGTCGTCTCCTGCCAGTTCGGATGTGACATGGGCGGTAACTGGAATTCCTGCGTTCCGCTTCTCCTCACCTTTTCATAAACCCTTGGTGCCCGAGTCCCTGGCTCCGGCCTCTCCTGCAGCACTTGTACAAAGTGGTGGCATCATTCTTTTGCACCCAGTGGGCAAGAAGGCGAATTTCCTCGCCGCATCCCGCGATGCAATCGCGGCTTTCCTTTCCGAGTTCCCAGCCACTCGGTGCGTGCGTGTCAATTTCTTTTGCAATGCCGTGGCAGCACACGTTGAACCCCTCGCGGATCCCTCACCACTCCTCAAAGTGAACCAGCTCTGTGAGATGCACGTGAAGCACAACCTTTTCATGGAACACGCCTGCATGGGCACCATTTACGGTGTTCATAACAACCTGGACCCTGATGACATTGCGGCCAACCTCGTGTCAGCCATCAAAGTCATCTCGCTAGTCTGCCGATGCAGGTGCTTCACGCTGACCTTACAGGACACTGCCGTACCACTGGAGGTGTTCCTGTTTAAGCTCCAGAGGCCGGTCTGCCCTCGACTACCACGGCGCCTTCAATGCACCCGATGCGGTCGTTTTGACCATGTTACGGTGACTTGCTCGCGCAACAAGCGCTGCCTCCGCTGCGGTGACAGCCATCCCAAGGGACCATGTACTACCACGACATCGCCGCGCTACATTAACTGCAGCGGCAGCCACCCTGCCGCTGACCGACCAGCCACGCTGCCCTTCCTGGCAGATTCAGGGCAAGGCCACCGTCACTCTCGCCTCTTCGGAAGACCAAAGAGGCGAGACATGGTAGCAGCAAGCAGTAACATGGTAGCAGCAAGCACATGACAGGGTAGATTGGCAAAACATGGGAGAGGCCTTTGCCCAGCAGTGGGCGTAGTAAGGCTAGCAAGGATGATGATCACGTCGGAACACACGTACTGTGACAGCTGTGTATGGCTTTATTTTGGAGAGTTTCTACTTCCTGGTTTCGGCCTGTACTGTGAGTGAATGAGCTACTTGCATGACATGGTGCACGCAATGAGGTAGAACGTCTCACCTTGGTTCCCTGCCTCATGGCCGCCATGCTGACGGTGGCGCCTGTCTCCGAGCTGGACCATATGCTGAGATCCTTGAATTCGGCCTGCTCGACGCGTACATCCCACTCGCCATGAACCTTGCGGCCACGGAAGTGCTTGGACCAGTCGGTGTGCGCGTCGTCCACCACGAGCAACGTGAGTTGTCGCTCCTTGCCGACGACAGTGCCCGATCCACCTGCGACGGGTTTCGCAAGTGCCGCCCGCAGCTGTACAGCCAGGTTTTTGCAGAGTGTTTTTAAAGGGCTCTCACCTCACCATACTCCATTAATATTTTGATTACCGTGACATCGGAAATTCGCCTTTCAAGAATTTTTCTAATTGATTCATTCAATTGATTCAAACTAGAATAAATGCATGCTGCGCGGAGGTGAGCTTCACTGCCTAACCGGAATCTTTCGACCGTAAGCACTGCCTGCTACCAACTGCAAGATGCGAGGAAGACATTTGAAGAGCCTCTCCCCTTATTTTGCCCCTTTGAGCGCTCATACATTTGCCCAAACCTGGTGAGGGTCCATTGTACAGTCAAAGCTACAACTAGTGGGGCTTGAAGCGGAAGTCATTTTCGCTGCGCAACACAATGGAAGACACGAAGGCGTGACAGGCGCTAGTCCTGCCACGACGGTCTAGCGCCCGTTCTGCAATCGCGTCTACTTGTGTATGTGTGTTCATATTTCGCGCTGCAAGAATGACTGCCAGCCCTTGCGTGGCCTATATATATACCTGTGATTCCAGAGAGCAACGCACCTCCGCCCACCACACGCCCGGTCAGCGAAGCGCCGCGCGACAGCAACGAGCTGACTCCGCTCCTGGCCGGCGAGCTGGGCGCGCTGGTGGCCGAGCTGGGGCGCAGGTTGAGCGACAGGTCGGTGTCGCCGGGCTGTGCGCTGCCCGCGGCGTTGGCCGGTGGCCCGGCCGGTGCACCGGAGGCGGCGGGCGCATCGCCGGCGGCCCCGGGTTGGTCGTCGAGCTCCCCGGAGAGGTCGCCCGACGAGAAGCGCCGCCGGAGGTAGTTTGTGGTGCTGGTGAAGCCCTGCTTGAAGCTCGAGAAGGAAATCTTGGCTGCGGCGGCCGACGACGACGAGAACGGGTTAGTCGCCGGGTACTGGCCCGTTGGCGCCGCCGTGGTGGCGATGGTGTGCGCAAGGCCTCCGACTGCAATAGGGGCAACTTGACAGTTTCACACACACACAGAAATCTACAGGAAGGGAAACAGCAGCTTGTGATGAAATAATCTGTAAACAGAGGTTGTGAGCTCGAGCCGACGTTTTGACAGATGGAGGTGTCTTCTAGCCGTGAACAATGTCGGCTAAAGCACAAAACTGTTGACGCATTTGCTCATAACTCTTGGAGCTACACGCGCGATCAGTGACAACGAACAGAGCCGTATAGTTTGGGGGGGAGGGGGATTCTCTGCCCCCTTTCGAAATTATGCTTTATTATTTCGTTTGACACTGCAGTATTTACACGCCGTCACAACGACCACCATGCAGTTAATGAAGTCTGCCGTTCGACACATAAACACCCCCTGAAAAAAAAAAAAAAAACCCTGGCTAGAGCCCTACCAACGACGTGGACACATTCCCTCTTAACGTTTCATATGCAGGCAACGCGTTAATCGTACAGTTACCAGCGGCGTCAGTTCTCCGGCGAACGCTCGTCTTTATTGCACTCAGCTAGCCATGCCGGCTGTGTTCGTTCCAGACGCGGAGCGCCGCTGAAATGAAGGTAACAAAGATTTGTATTTTTCTCAAGACAGCTACTTCGACTCTTCTCGCCTTCTTCCCTATGAAAATAAAATATAGGTCAGGGAAAACGGGAGAGCTACGCCACCGATGGCAACAAGTTTAACACTCCCCGTTCGTAAGCAAGTGATTAATGAGGGCAATTGTTAATGTTTAGTGACCATGGTTAATGAAGAAAAAAGATGAGAGGAAACAAAAGAGAAGCAAGGGGTTAAAGGAAAGCTTTCGGTCGCGTGCTCCTACTCATTTAGGGATGGGAATAAATTGGAATGAATTCGCTGACGTTTGCTGGATTTAACCCTTTGGTGCCTGAATTATGAAACTGCCTAGCAAAATAAAAATTGCTTTCATCTTTAGCAACCTTTGAAAGATGTGCAGGTAAATCATCTAAAACGCAACTTAAATACATAATTTGGTGAAGGTCGCGAATTCTCCATATGCCACAGAAACGAGGACCTTGCAACAAAAAACGCACTTCGGAACTGCGTAACATGTGTGTCACCTCTTGAGCGCATACACAACAAATAAGCAAAATGAGTGAAGATATAACTTAGCTCACCAAGGCAAGAATGAACGAAGTGAAAGCTGTTGCACGCGCTTCACACCTTGTGTGATCAGCTCCAAAACAATTGGTTCTAGCTTAAAATACCTTAGACATATACAGCGCTATGTTTTTCATGCTGAAAGCTACATGCCCCGAGAGTACTTGACAGCCGGCATTAAAGGTGGAACACATTTCGTGACTTACTTGCTCGTAGTTTTTCGGTACATCCTGCAGTAGATCTGGGTCTACTGCAGGACATCCAGATCTTGGTAGCTTCACAAACTTTTTCTGGAGTATACGTGCACAGCAATACTTCAAGAAATGATGCCCACACGACTTCTCTGAGGACCAAAGGGATTTTGTGAGTGTACACCCAGAACTTCGATCCCCTCCCTATGCAGCGGTGCCGTGCTTAGACACCTCAAGAGCCTACATTGCTGCGCAGGAGATCCGCGACCGGTCTCCGAGTGCCGTATGTGTCTAGCGTGTCCTTTTAAGGCGAAAACTTTACGATCGAGCCTTCACAACGGGAAATTTGACCGTCCCGCGGCGCCGGGGGCGAGTGGTGCAAAATAGCATCACGCCATGACGTCACATATAATAAACTCGTGACGTCATCATGACGTTACACATCTGGCGTGACGTCACGCGAATTAACGCTTCCCGATGCCGTTGTAGTGCCCTCGTTCGGCCGGCAAACTTAACCGAAAAGCGCGCGAGCTCAAGAGGAGAAAATGACGGCGCTTGGCTGCGGCACGCCAAGCCACGGCTCCTGTTCCCTGCTCCCTTATTAAAAAGGCAACTATTAAGTCGACGTTGATTGCTGAAATAGCTGTCGTGAAATCTCGTAGTGTTACTTTTACAAGTTCGGTAACACTACGAGAAACCTCGTAGTGTTACCGCATCGGGTTAGCGCACTTGAATTACCCGCCTCAAGCAGAACGTCTCACGTCACCGTTGCGGTGCACTACGTTGCCCGGCTTTACTACGCGGCCGCCGACATCAGTAGCAGAAGAACGAAAGTAGTGGGAGCCATAGCAGCAACTAAGGCTATTGAACAATTTCCTGTCATGGCCTCCGCAATGGCAGACGTGTTTGGTTCAACTGGGCCCCGCTAGATAACACGACCTGTCAATTCAACCAGGCGAAAATTAAATTTTTTAATTACTCGAGCCATTTTTCATAGGAACGTCCGGCGGTTCTTTTTTCCACGAATCAAACAAAAACGAACAATTAAAGCAGTATTTTATGACGTCTCCTAAAGGGGTGGTGCCACCAAACTTGTGATGTGCGTGTTCTTTGCTGTGAGCGGTAATTTCCTTCAGCTCCAGGAAGCATGATACACGCACCAAGATTCGCGTATTTTCGCTAAATAGTTTAAGATTGCTCTACTTATGTGGACCATTTTCGGTTTCGCGGCGCTGAGTTGGGCAGTGACGTCGATGCATAGGTGGCTTGGTCACGTGACCACACAAGGCTGTGACGCACATTGTGCCGAGTGTCGTCTGCTCTCACCAGTGGCTCTCACTTGCCACTCAAGCCCCAGCAAAACAAACGTGCTGATAGTCGCCATAGCCAGCTGCAGTAGCACCCTGGCAGTGCCAAGGCAATAGGCAGCCAGTAGGAAACAAAGCGTTTATATTTACACCGTCTGCACAGAGCGTGGACGAGGAGGCCGCCCAACGCTAGATGCGCCGGCCTTTTACAGACGCGGAAAGAGGAGGGGACAGCCCCACTGTTTAACGCGCGCAGCTTCTCCGACGGAGGCCTTCGGGTGTTTTGTGGAGGCCTCCGTTGTCCGTGAAGGACGCGTCGACCCTATTGGAAAAGTTGCCATGGTGGATACTGGAAAACATGGTGGGCGTAGTGGAAATAATAGTGGGCATGGTGGAAATAATAGTGGGCATGGTGGAAATTATGATGGCTATGGTGGGACGTAGTGGAAAATATGGTGGTTATGCCGGGACATACTGGGTGGTATGGTGTACAGATGATGGGTAAAGTGGAAATGATGGTGAAAAGCAGAGGCTAGATAGTGGGCAATAATGGGACACTCTGCCCACCATTGCGATAATGCTGGGAAGCCCTAAGCATATGGTGGGTGGTGCTTATTATGGTGGGCTACATGGTGTACCAAGCTGAGAAACTCTTCTCACCATTGCGAAAATGCTGGGAAGCACTAAGCAGATGATGGGTGCTGCTTGTTATGGTGGGCCACATGGTGTACCAAGCTGAGAAGCTCTGCCCACCATCGCGATAATGCTGGGAAGCAGTAAGCAGATGATGGGTGGGCTTATAATGTCGGGCAAATTATATAGTGTACCAAGCTGGGATCTGTACACTACATGTTCTACCATCATGATTTCCACCAAAGGTTAGGCCTACTGACCGAGCCCGTACAATTGTGTTATCCGTGCTTCCGGGTTTCAGAATACATGATTACGACGATTAAGTATGACAATACAGCGCAGCCATATGGCATCAATTAACCTAAATGAAGCATTTTTCATTGTGTATGCTGTTCGCTCAAGAAGCAACAAACATCGATGCGACGCGATTAAAGCACTCCCAGAGAACGTAAGTGTCTTCTCACCGACAGCCGCCGGTCGCACTCGCCGGCACTTCTCTAGCTTTTGTACGAGAACTCAGACGTGGCAATTCGTGTGCTTGGTGAACCATTATGATAGCGTAATGTTTCCGGTACACTGCATTCGTTTTGGCCAAGCCGTTATGTAGTTGTTGCTTTAGCGAAAGAGCAACAGCATTGCGCTGGCGCGACCGCCCTCTACATTGCGCGAAAAGCATCCCAATACTCACTCAAATAAATTAGGCGGGCGTATCTATGAAATGAGCCTAGAAGCGTCATAAAGCGTGAGCAGATGTCGCCCTTTAGAACGAGCGCGAAACGGATATTAAACTTGGCAGACCCCGCCGGTAAACTGTTGCTGCTCCCCAGTCCACTTGGTTTTTTTTTTCCCTTTAAGTTGTGAATTGTAAAAAAAATAGCACTAGTACCAATAACATAGTGGCAATCGTTACAGGGCGCAGTTGCTTGTGTTTAATAAATGTGAAATTTTTAGTAGCAGGTGTAGATCTTGTCTATGTTGTGTACACGACAAACATAACTTAAGTTGAACCTTAAGTTTGTGCGCCAACTAAGTATTTAACACGCAACCACCATCATGTTGGTGTGGCGCAGTGGTTAGCGTCTTCGAATGGGAATCGGCAGGTTGCACGTTCGATCCTCCGTGGCGCCTTATTTTTTTTTTTACGGGACGGGTGTTTTTTATACCGTTTTTATAGAATTCTTTTTTATTTTTTGTGGCAGCTCGTCACGGTGATTCTGACGTCATTTTGCGCTCAAGTGTTGCCGGCACTGCAGCACCCACCATACCCACCATGCGCCATGGTGGGTGTTTCCCACCATTCACCCACTACATTAATCCACTATAATGGTGGGTGGTGGTTTCCACCATGCCCACCATTCGTTTTTTTCCGATAGGGGAGTCTTGCTGCGCAAGCGATGGGCTTAGATCGCGAGAGTGAGCATTCAGCAACACTTTTAGAAGTGAATTAAAGTATATCCTACGCGTTTGTTGTGTCTGACCTTTCGTGTCGAGAGTCCTTGCATAAAGAGAAAACCCACAACAGGCTCGGGATAGCATCGAAATTCGGTGGCACCGCCCCTTTAGCACCTAGTTCGATTACTAGTGATCAATTGTAGGCGGTATGTCTAACGTCCTCGTGATTATTTTTGCGACTTTTCTTGGCATTGGAGCCAAGGCTACAGAGCCCAATTGCGGACATCCTACCGCCAGTGAATTAGTTTCACAACAGCGCCCGTATTTTCACCGTGAAATATAAAA